ATATGCCAAGGTCATTTACTTCAAAAAATACAACATATATTATATTTAATGTCGCAGGTTCGATTCCTCGTACGGTGGAAACATTTGTATTCATGAATATGACTGTTTTTATAGGTCTGGATGTTTCTTATGAATATTATGTTTGTATTGAAAAATAAAAGATTTAAGTAGTAGTTGTTTAGTATCTATAACACAAGCTCTGGTACGTTTGGGACTAGATGGCGCTGTGTGAATAGTCTTGGGTTATTATTATTATTATTATGCATAAACATACGGACCACCAAACAACATGTCATTATCTAAAAATTGCGACTCGTTATAAATTCTCTAATAATATAATCTGAACATTGACAGAGCAATAAAAATACCAATGAATTTAGTGTCAAAAAGAAAAATAGCGTGAAATAACGAAGTAAACATCGTTATTCCCCAATATGTTTGACAAAAGGCAATTTAACGAGCGCCCAAAATGGAAATACCCGGATTCCGTTAGAAAAATTTTGGTTAAGTGAGCTCTGAGCGTGGCGACGATAATTTATTATACACAAATTCCGTCGCATAATTTATATACAGTTTACTATTTCTATATCTATCTTAGCCCAATAAAACTCACAGTACATAATATTTAAAAAAAAATAGTTTATATTTTTCTTAATAATAATAATAATCACCTTAGACAATTCACACAGCGTCATCAATTCCCAAGGTAAGTAGAGCTTGTGTTATGGGTACTAGACAACTGATATAAATACTTAGATATATATTCTTTTTGTAAATTTATACGTAATATAGAAATCTACAGTGCGGGCAATCGAACCCGCTACCATCGGAAGTAAAGCGATGTGCTAAACCACAAAACTACCGAGGTCGTCAATTAATGATAATATAATTCTACAATAGTAATCCCTGATGAGATAATCTGAGGTATTGTGAACTAAAACGTTCTGGTGAACGCAACAAAGACATGAGCATATTTCACTGAGTGAATAATATTTGAATGCAACGTTGCAGAGATGAATGTACAGCTCTCAGATTAACTAATTACTTAGAAGACAAGATACATTAGTAGGAGCTAGATTTAAAGCTAATTTACGGCTTTGTATAAAGTCTATCTAAGTATTACTATTATTAAATGAAACTAGTATCTGTTAGTTGCGAATACAAAATAGTCTAGACATGTCAAAGCGGGTCTTACCACAGTTTGTCTGATTAAATCGTAACATTGATTAATATTTCAACAATGTATCAGTTGACAAACTTAGTCAATTAATAAATAAGTTTTCCCAGAAAATTGTTTTTAATAAAATGACATCACACTTCGAAAGTATGATTTCTATAGAAAAACACTAAAAGTTATAAGGTATACTTTATTTTATTATAAGGTATACTTTAAGGTTATAAGGACTAAGTCAGAAAATATGAATTAAAAACTAAATTTTCTGAGTTAAATAAATACCGGGATGAGGTAAAAAAAGAACTAGCAACACTTAGATACCACCGTGAACTTGAAACGAATTCTGATCGATCAACATTGAAATTTGGTGTTTTCCACAAAAACGATTAGCTGAGGCCTTGATTTTGTATTTGTATATTTTTTTAAAAACCGATTAGAATAAAATATGCACAAATATTTTAAGTTAATTATACAATAATACAAAGAAGCGTATAAGGTGTTACAGATGAATGTGGATAGATATAAGGGCAGAGGAAAGCCAAAAAAAAAATGGATGGACTGTGTGAAAGATGATACGGTAAGTAAGGGAGTAAATAACGAGATGACTGCGAACAGGGATGAATGGAAGAGAAAAACATATTACGCCGACCATAAATAAATGGGATAAGGAAGAAGAAGGTGATGACAATGAAAAGCGTATCCAATTCGATTACGTAATTTGAGAGATCAGCTGTCACAAATGCACAAGAAAATAGACAAATATTCTGATAATCATCAGTAAGTCCTCTTACATTAATAAAGTGGCCTCCTAATATTTTTTTCATATATATTCCATCTATAGACATTTATAAATTATAGTACCTATATAAAATTATAATCGAAAACGTCACTTATTGAAACAAAAAATTTAACACGCTATACTGATACACTACTGATAATGAAATCAAAAATCAATTCATACTATTTATATTTTATGTTATTTAAATACGTAGCTTACTCCATTACAATTTTATTATAAGTATGCATAATCCCAAATAACCATAACTTATTCGGCTCAAAAGATTCTATTTTTCATCTAATCCAGCAATAAATGAAACGTCTTCGGAATTAGATCCGTTTTGTGCTACCATTGACGCAAATAAAGTCATATTAGGCAGTTTTAACACCATTAAGAACCGGTTCAATTTGAAAAATAAAATTCAAACAAATTTTACGCATGTACATAAACAAGAGTGGAACTCCAGAAAACATTCGAACCTAGATTTTTATGATAGTGTTTTGACTTTTAAATATTATTGTGTTGTTGATAATGTAATACGCATAATTGGTGATGGTTTCCTTAACTTGGTTATGCTTTAAATGATTGTATAAATTATGCAGTATTATGGCTGATGATATTTGAATATAAAGTGAGAGTTTTTCAAGCAAATGACTGCCGTGGTTAATGTTGTAACTATAGAGACAATATTTAATTCTCTTTAGATAAAATTTAGATATAGTTATTGACGGCCTCGGTAGTCTAGCCGTTTTGTACACCGCTTTACTTCAGATGGTCGTCGATTCAAATCCTCTTACTGAACATACATTTGTATTAATGATTGTTTGTATCGGTCTGGGTGTTTCCTATATATATGATTTATGTATTTCCTTTAAAATAATATTTGTATTAGCTCTGCTTAGCTTGGTACTAGGTGGCGTTTGTGTGAATTGTCCAGGGATATTAATATTATATTATATTAGTTTATACTTATAGTTTAGTATACCTTATGTATATAAAATATGGTTCAATATTGTTAGATCAACGGCGGATCCACGGGGGGACATAGGGGTCATGACCTCCCCCCCTGAGGTGGTTCCAGGACTTAGGAAGACCGCTAATTGTACATAATGATTTTATTTATATATTTTGACACCTTACAGATTTTATGTAACTACATACCTTCAATATTCAATTAATTTAATATAATATAATAACTTTGTACATTATTAAAATACCTACTTTTTACTTGTATCTATTGTTATCAAAATTAAATTATAAGTTCTTGACTTGACCACGACTATGTGACCCCCTCCTGGGGCCAAGGCTGGATCCGCCCCCATGTTAGATAAATAATATTAAGTTGCCTGTATTAATATCATTACATAGTATACAATAAAGTCGCTGTCGCTGTCTGTCCCTATGTATGCTTAAATCTTTAAAAATACGCAACGGATTTTGATGCGTTTTTTTAATAGGTCGATTGATTAAAGAGGAAGGTTTATATATATAACATATGTACACCCGTGGGAAGCCAGGGCGACTAGCTAGTCACCTATAATGGAAAGTGAAATACTCTGTTTAGGTCACGAAAGACTTCCATCGCATTTTTTATGATATCTCAGAAACTACTGATAAGGTCTTGATAAGAAAGAAAGAAAGAAAGAAGAAGAAGTAATATGGGATTATATGTATATGGGATCAAATAAGAAGTAGTAACTTGTAATACATGTACACCCGTGGAAAGCCGGGGCGAGTAGCTTGTAAATAAATAAAAAAGATTGCTTAGTGGTAATAAATCCTTTATATAATACAAAATAATCACAGTTCATCGTATCCATACTGGTATGCTAATATCTATTATATATATAGATAGTTATATGATTTCGAGTAGCAATATAGAGTAATATATTGGCTAGTTGGCGCTTGTATTATTAATTGTGTTAAATTTACATAATATTACGATTGTTGTGACGTAAATACACATTAACTATTTATACACATTATTAACATAGAACATGGGAACTAAAAGCATTTGAGTGTTCCAATATTGGGTGTATGTACTACCGAATTCCTCATTCACGAAGTATTAGGGAGTAGATAGATGTAACGGGTCATTATGATCATTAAATTAACTATTACTGTACATACATATTCATTTATTATTGTTTTATAATTAAACAACAAAGTAGACACTTTAAAAGGTATATGTTTTAATTAAATTCTATTAATATGTTATTTTAAATGTAAAAGTTCGTATATTTGGATGTTTATTGACGACGTTGAATAATTTTGAAGGTGTTTACAATTGTGGATACAAAGTTGCTATCAAAAAATATCTTCCAAAGTATCTCTATCGCTTACTACAAGTCTCCTACGAGTATACAGAAGATCTTTTTGGTAAAATTAAATGTCAATCAAGTCACCAAATAATCTATACATATAAATAAAATTGGAGTGTCTGTTTGTAATATTGAAATAACCGTTTTTGCATGCATATGAATATAAATACGGTACATACACCAAAATAACATTTTTTTTCTGTCTGTTCCGACTAATCTCTGAAATTGCTGGACCGATTTTAACGGGACTTTTTTGGTACCTGATGTAATAATGAATAACTTAGGCAACTTTTATTTTTAAAAATCTTTTATTTTAGAAATATAAAGTTAAATTCCATGCGAGCGAATACGAGGGTGCATCTAGTAATAAATAAAATCATACATAACACATACATCTGTACATAATATATATTGTATGACTAATGATTATGTTGTTTATATTATTGGTTGGATTGACCGTATCCTACATAATACGTACAGAGGATATTTTTTTTATTTATATAATTATATAGACCCGGTTAATTAACCGGGTCTAAACACGAACTGAAGAGCGGACTTCAGCTCAGTGACCACGGCTAGTGCAACATAGTCGAAACGTCGAGAGAGGAAAATATCTTTATTTGCCATGAAATTAGTTTGTGTTAAGACCCGGTTCATAATAAACTAATGTAAAATAATGTATGTATATTAAACACGAAAGTTTCAGGATATTTTTTTTTTCACAGAGGATAAATTTACATAAGTACAGATAAGATAATATTACACAACATAAGTAAAAACGTAAATAAATAACAATTGAGTTGTCCTGCCAAAAAATAATTCTATTGAAAGAAATTAAGAAAAGCGAATAACATGCCCCTACAAAATATAACGCCCAGCGAAAAGAAAAAATAAATAAAGTGAAATTAAATTAAGACTAATAAGACATTAATTATTCTTTATATATAAAATATAATTAAAGTCTATGCAATTAATTTTCATAAAATTAAATATTCTTAAACAATTCATAAAATTAAGAAAAAAAGAATTTTATTGACAATTGCGTTTGAGTAAATTTGAGTTGATAAATAGTAACAAGTAGTTGTAATAATATTAATTAAACAAAGTAGTAAAAATATTTATAAAATATACAAACATTCTATTTTTATATTATTTACAAAATTTAACAATATTTTTCTTTCAGAACTCTTCTTAAAATCTTACCCGAGGGGTTCTTAGGGATACTATCCAAAAATATAACCTCCTTAATTTTTTTATATGGTGCTACCCTTTCACTAACAAAGTTCATTATATCCTGCTCGGTCACATTACTGCCTTCTTTAAGAACGACGAATGCTTTAGGTCTCTCTCCTGTTAGGGGATCTGGTACCCCAGTGACCGCAGCATCCGCAACTGCTGGATATTCCTTCACCACGTTCTCCAACTCAGCAGGAGGTACTTGGTACCCTTTCACCTATAAAAATATAGTTATTAACATCTCATAAAATATTTTCTTCGATATTCTAAGCTTCGAAATGTTCTACAATAATAAAATTTTGTCCATAGAATTTATTAGCCACTACAGAATAATCATATTTATTATTTTTATATTTATCTTTTTATTCCTTCGTCGTCGTCACAAGAAGAACGATTAAGAAACTTGCGCGTATTTTTATTTTGGTTTTGGGCTATTGTCAGGTGCTAAGACCTGTGCCACTTCGATCTATTCAATCTCGCCCTTTTTCAAAGTTCGCTACCCGTAGACCTGTGAAGGACATGAATTAAAAGATATTCTTAGGAGCGATGGTTTTTATCTTCTCAGAACTTGCGTGTTGCTCTATTAAATAATTGTTAGAACTTAATTTTTTTTATTAAAATGTGTGAATACACACTGTGAGATAGCACTAATTTATTACAGTCAATATATTAGATACACAACCACCTCCAAAACCAACATAACAGAATCAACAGAATCTGAGAAACGAAACCGCGACCATCAGAAACAAGACGGAAACAAGCGGATTAGCCACTAGGCCACCAAGTTTAAATTAATAAATAAACATTAGCAGAATAATAAGAGCATATTTAAGAATAGAATAAGAATAACATTTATTTCGGAAAACTTAACTTCAGTAACATTTTATCTATGACTTCATACTAGCCTGTACCGTGGAAGTCAAAGAAAGTTTAACAGCCAAAGTTATATTTGTACGACGATCAGAGAGATGATAATAGTTTTGTGTATATATACTAGTAATACTGATAATAATAATAATAATCTCAGGACAATTCACACAGCGCCATCTATACCCAAGTTAAGCTAGCTAAAGCTTGTGTTAGGGGTACTAGATAACACATAGATATTTTTTTTGTAAATACATACATATTATACATAGAAAACATCCAGTTTGCTTCGGCAAACAATCATACTCATGAATACAAATATTTGTGCCGTGCGAGGAATCGAACCCGCGACCATCGGATGTAAAGCGATGTGCTAGACCGCTAGACCACCGAGGTCGTCGATATAATATATGACGAAAGATAATCATATCTAATAATTACATATGTATTTGTTAGTGCGCGAGTATTCGTGAGTGAGAATATATCTTAATCTTATAAATATAATAATCTAATAATATTATAAACGCAAAAGTTTATAAGTATGAATATTTGTTACACTTTCACGTAAAAACTACTGAACGGATTTTGATGAAACTTTACAGTAATATAGCTTATGCATCAGTATAAGAGATAGGCTACATATTTTATTGAAATGTAACGCGGGTAAATAGATTGTAAGCTAACATATACATTTTAGTTTACCTTTATAAGTTCTTTCAACCTGTCTGCTATAGTTACTAATCCAGCATCATCTATGCTCACCAGATCACCGCTTCTGTACCATTCGTTATCAACGAATACTTCTTTATTGGCTTCAGGGTTATTTTTGTACCCTTTCATTAGGTTTGGTCCTTTGATGAGTAACTCTCCTACCTGTTGTAGTAGTAATTTAAGCAAATTTAAAAAGAAATAATGAGTATTGTGTATCAAGACCAATCGTTGGACAATCTACTAGTGGTAGAAAAAAAACTGCTGTCACCTATCTACATTGACATCGCTGTTACTCCAGTCAGCTCGTGATCACGGCTAGTGCAACTTTTTCAAAACGTCGAACTAAGGTAAACATTTATATACCATAACATTATTCAAGTTAAGAGCCAGTTTAAAATATAAATAATGTATATCAAACACGAAAGTTTAAAAATAACTAACTTAATAAAGGTTTTGTATAATAAAAAAAAAATAATAATTTAAAAGAAATCTTCATCATTTTATTTTCTTGGCTTTTGAGCATTGTATTGTTTAGAATTGGTCTAATAATTGAAAAAAAAACATTCTTAAATTTAGTTCTAGGGTTAAACAGACAGTAAACAACATTAAACAGACAGCAGGTATGCTGTTAAAATAAGTTCTTTGTCTATTCTATTCTATTCTATATACATATATTTATTTATTAAAACATTAATATGCAAATACATAAATATAGATGCATATGGCGAGCTTGCTACCTTGAGGCATTTTCTCCTAGTATATATTATATAGATTTTTTTTTATTTCTTTAGTCTTAAACGACTTTATTTGCATTACTTTAGTACGACAATTTGTATGGAGAAATTGTTACGTTAATGACTCCATTAGCTCGTTTATTACATTTTTTTTATAGACAAATTGTTACTTTATTAAGAGAATTATATGAATATTTTTTACGTACCTCTCCTGGACCTAAGTTCTTGAGATCCGCATCAACGACTCTTAGTTGAATATTAGGTAAAGCAAATCCGGATGTCTCGTACTCCTTAGATCCTATCGGACTTATTGTTACTAGTGGAGAAGCTTCAGTCATGCCATATCCTTGAGTAAAATGAAAATCGTGCTGCAATTGTTTTAAAACATTAGTTTATAATTACTCGCTACTCGCCCCGGCTTTGCACGGGTGTACATGTATTATATATGTATATAAACCTTCCTCTTGAATCACTCTATCTATTAAAAAAATCGCTTCAAAATCCGTTGCGTAGTTTTAAAGATTAAAGCATACATAGGGACAGACAGACAGCGACAGCGACCTTGTTTCATAATCTGTAACGATGATCATAATGATAAACGCGAAAGTTTGTGAGTATGAATAGAATATTAGATGGACGGATATTTGTTACTTTTTCACGCAAAAACACCTGAACGGATTTTGATGAAACTTTACAGTAATATATCTCATACTTCAAAATAACACATAGGATACAAATTAAGATATATATCTTTTAATCTCTAGATAATCTCTCCTATTAGTAGATCAGAAGTAGAGTAGCAAAAGAGTAGAAATGATTAGTGTAGAAATAAAAATCTGATGCACACCTGATGGTATGTGATAACCGTCGCATATATCTACTTGAAAAACACTCATGCGTTGCCATTCTAGAAGATATCCTAGTCTTCTAGAATACTCATGCTGTGATTTCACAGTCTTATATATTTTTTAAAGTTCAAAATTATCTGAGTAAACACAAAAAAGGAAGTTCACGCTTTAAAATATTGATTTACGTTAGATTTTGTATTTTAAATTCCACCTCAGAAGGATATCCTTCTAGAGAATATCTAGAAATTAAAAGATAATCAGCTTTTTATTTCTCACTCAGCATTTCTACTCTACTACGTCTACTAATAGGAGAAGCCTAAGAGATTCAAATTGTATAGTATAAAATACATATATTATACCTTGACTTTAGCCAGTAGTTTATCTAAATCAACACGTGACAATGGTGCTGCTCCCGAAACTAGAACCCGCACCGAGTCCAAATGTTTATTGGTAGCTTGAGGGTGCGATCCAAGAAACAATACTGAAAGTAAAATAAAATTTATATAAAATTGTTATATGACTACTATTTACCCAGGTAGACTTTGTGTATATTTAAGCACATTAGTTGTGGTAATAGAAAAAAAGAAAGAAAGACTAGCAGTACCTGCGACTTCGTCCGCGTAAAATAGTGACCTTGATCAAATAATGAAAAAATATTTAATAATCTAACCCAGTAAAAGCCAAATAGAAATTTTTCATCGTTCTAGCTTAAAAAATTATACAACTCAATCAACAGTCTAAAAATTAGTTTCGGTTTAAAAATTACGATACTTCAATAAATATATATATGGTTTTAAACCATATAACACAATTTATATGTATAATTAAAAAATCACGGGATTTACCACGTTTTATATTTATTTGCTGAGTTTAAAAATACACGTGTAAACAGTAGTGAATATAAAGATGGTGGTAAGATCCCGTGATTTTTACTTCAATATAACTTTTTATGTCCCCATTCCACCCTTAACAAACCTATTTCTTTATTTATATTTACGACGATTCTTCCATACAACCTTTCACCTCCCCTTTCAACCCTTTTTTCGCATTAAAAAGTAACCTATGTCCTTTCTCACGGTTTAGATTATTTGTGTACCAAATTTCATTTAAATCTATCAGTAGTTTTGGCGTGAAAGCGAGACAGACAGACAGAGTTACTTTCGCATGTATAATATTAGTAAGGATAAATAATGATTTAAACAGAATTTAATTTTGAAATTCTTAATAGAATACTATTCTTCTTATTCTTCTCTAATTACATTATTTTCCGTTGCCTTTTTTCTATTCTGTCATGCCTATCACTAGGCATATGCTGCGGAAATTAAACCGCTGCAGCACTGTAAAGCTTCTATTCTGCGAAAGCCATTGTGTAACAACAGAGACGACAAAGCATAACAGAAATAGGTTTTTCGATAGATTTTCCTTTGCAGAATGCACTACAGTTTATTTCTAGACTTTCTTAAAATACAACGTCTATTCTCGTTATATTTTTAATTGCAAAATATGGCAAGATACAAAGACGGAGACATAATTTATTTGTTTATATAAACTGAATTAATAATTACTAGCTGTGCCCGCGGTTTCATCCGCCTGAAATTCATAGCATATGTGTTATTCAAGTGTATAAGCTGTTACTTTTCTATTATTAAAAGTGGGTTTGCGCTTGGTCTTACCTCATCTAATGGTAAATGACAAGACCTAGGATATAGCGCGCTTACCCAGAAGAAATCTATTCAACATAGACTTAGAGAATCCGGGATTCTATTCCTCCAGGAAAATAAAATCTGGAAGTGTGTTCCACTCTTTGGCAGTGCGTATTAGAAACAGTAAAGTTTTATCAGAATCCGATAAGTAGTTTTTGGGTCCACTCCACGAGTTTACAAGAATGGCAGCCAGTAGAAACATATTGCGAGATATCGTACGGCGGATGACAACCTCATAGATGTCGACCACGACTTATTGAAAATGTAAAGTTATATACTGTTTTAAACTTGACATACCCCACTACACGTTTTATATTTATTTAAGCGACCACACGACCGTTCTCTCAAATATCGAACTTATATAAAACGAAAATGTATTTTTAAATTATACGTTATACCAAATTGAGAAGAAGTTTATGCGTGAAAAATTAATAAAAATACTTACCCATAGGAGGAGCTAAATAAAGGATATTAATTTTAAATTCTATTAATGAATCTAGAAACGCATCGGGCTGAAATTTAGGTAACGTGACGATCCTCAGACCAGCTGCCAAATTTTGTAGCGTTACAACTGATAAACCGTATACGTGGAAGATTGGCAACACCGCCAGTACCGAATCTTGATTAGTTTCTGAAAAGTAAAGAAAAAACTTGTTATTTCCTTTTCATACTAGAATCATAATTTCTTTTTTCGGACTACTCTAACACTTTTGGCTGCAGTTGACCTTGACAGCTTCACCGGACGAATACGAAGAAAATTATGGTATGTAATAATTCATTCCTCAAAAGTGGTAACCGAGATTTCATCAAAAGAGCCATCTATTGACGATAAATCAAACGACAACAGTAAACCTCTATAGCGCCATCTGTTATTTTATGAATGAACTAATTCATAGAATTATAGGTGGCGCATTGAAACTTATTACCTAAAACGCAAGTGACAACCGCGATACTACTTTTGCATTGTTAATCCGATGGACTAAAATGCCTAAACTAAGACTGCCTTACCTCATCCTACAAGTTGAGGGTTTGTTTCTGTAGGTAGTTTGCTTTTTAAGATTTTTTTTATTTTTTATAAAGTCTATGCGGTATAACATACCTATATATTTTATATGCTATTGAAATGGTTTTATAAGCATTTGTCACATGACAACAATATTTAAACTATGTATTAATATTCAGATATTCGTATCTTTATCGACAGGGAATTCATCCCCACACACTGGAACCTAAGTGGTCTCGGACAGTGCGGTTTCAGAGGAGATTCCTCACGCGTACACTTAGATTGAGGAATGAACTACCTGTCGAGGTTTTCTCACGAGACTACAGCATAGGGTTTTTCGAGAAGGGTATTTTAAGGTTTCTTAAGGGTCGACAACGCGCACTTGACACCCCTGGTATTTCAGGCGTCCATAGGCTACGGTAACCATTTACCATTAGATGAGCCGTATGCTCGTTTGCAATCTACGTGGTAAACAATCTTTATTATTTAATCACTATTTTCTGATTAGAATACATCTCTAATCATAGTTCTAGTATTTTCTTATACAACTATCTTCCACGATGCGCCTCGCGTGGAAAATGTCTATATTACTCATCGATAACATTGCTTCTACAGATAAATTATTTTCTTTATCGGTCAAGTATGTTTTTTAGTTTTCCATTACAAACAAACAAACTACATATCTAATCATTTCTCTTTATAACGTATATTTAGCGTAATTAATCCCTATTTCGGCCTTGGTCACCACTTGCGAACTGCTTAAACGATTTAAATCATATTTTTTGTTGTTTATCTAATTTTTTATATATTATTGTGTTATGACACACTTATCTTCTGTATGCAGAATGAATAATTAAAATAATTACATAGAAAACAGGAAAATTTCTACTATTGTACATTCCGTCGGATCAGTCAGTACCATTAAGCAGCAATTAGTCTTCAGGCGCTCCATGACTCATTCTATAGGTTCGTCCCACTGCACTTGCCTTTATTTCGTTATTTGTTAAGTTGTCATGGCCAGCTACGACCAACAGACTTTTTTTTTCGGACTACTCTAATGCTGTTGGCCGCAGCTGGCGTATGGGCGATGCAGATGGCAGAAAGCCAACTCCTGCCTGACGGATACGACGACCAACAGCATTAGAATAGTTCGACAATTTAAAAAATAAAAAAGAACTAGCACCTTATTCTTAAGAACACAAATACAACCAATGCAAACTTATTTCAATTATTAACCGTGTTTTAACACGAATAATTTTATGCCGAATAAAGGTATTTACCTATCTCGACGTATCGAGTAGGTTGCACTAGCTGTCAGTCAGCTCGTGACCACGGTTGCACTTACATCGTTTGTATTTCTATTTCAGTCAGATCGTGACCACGGTTTTAAAATATTCAGTCAACTCGTGACCACGGTTGCACTTACCGATCTCGACGTTTCGAGTAGTAGCCGTCAGTCAACTCGTGACCACGGTTGCACTTACCGATCTCGACGTTTCGAGTAGGTTGCACTAGCTGTCAGTCAGCTCGTGACCACGGTTGCACTTACCGATCTCGACGTTTCGAGTAGGTTGCACTAGCCGTCAGTCAGATCGTGACCACGGTTGCACTTAACGGTCTCGACGTTTCGAGTAGGTTGCACTAGCCGTCAGTCAACTCGTGACCACGGTTGCACTTACCGATCTCGACGTTTCGAGTAGGTTGCACTAGCCGTCAGTCAGATCGTGACCACGGTTGCACTTACCTATCTCGACGTATCGAGTAGGTTGCACTAGCCGTCAGTCAGATCGTGACCACGGTTGCACTTCTCGACGTTGTAGGTTGCTAGCCGTCATCAGCTCGTGAAATTTGATTTACGTTTTATTATTAGTCATCGTGACCACAGTTGCACTTACCGATCTCGACGTTTCGTGTAGGTTGCATTAGCCGTCAGTCAGATCGTGACCACGGTTGCACTTACCGATCTCGAAGTTTCGAGTAGGTTGCACTAGCCGTCATTCAGCTCGTGACCACGGCCAGTGTAACCTAATAAATACCTTCATTTGCCGTAAAATTATTCGTGTTAAGAACCGGTTAATAATTCAAATAATGTATATTAAACATAAAGTTTAAAAATCACTAATGCAAACTTACCTGTCGTATATGAATACAATCTCATATCCGTAGTTTGCTGTTGGAAATTTGCTACCAGACATTTATTTGTTAACTCCACGCCTTTGGGTAGACCAGTAGTTCCACTGGAATATGGCAAAAACGCTACATCGTTTGTATTTCTATTTACTTCTTTTAAAATATTTAAATCAACGTGATTATCTTCTACCAGTTCTCTATAAGAGACCGTACCATCTGGTAAATCTTGGTTTACGTTCACAGCTATTATGGGTATGCTCAATTTCGCTAACTCCAAAGCTTTTCTAACTACTGGAACTAATTCTGGAAGTGTTATCATTAGTTTTGCTTCAGACAATAGCAATTGACGTTGTACTTCATCTGGAAATTTGATTTATTTTATTATTATATCTAGAGGAAGACATTGTATAAAGTTATCTGCATTATTACCTCAATTTAACCTAATTCGATCGCTAACAGCTTGTTTTGCTTTGTTATTAGAATAAAGTACGGAATACTGGCTAGAACTCTAATAAAAATTGAACAACTGTAAAATAGTCAGATGGACTTCAAAATATATTTTATGGCTAGCTGTTCCCGCTACTTCGTCCGCGTGGAATTTAACTTCAACTTTGTATATATAATGTTTGTATATACAAGTTATTGATATAATATTAATACGTTTTATATAAACTTGTCCATATGATAGCATTTTCCACTAACTGACTTGCGTGACTCTCCACATTTCATGAGGTTCTAGTCATTTCAAGTAACATTTTCATGGCTGGCTTAAGTAGTGGATATTATATCATATAAGTTAGCAATGAACTATTAAGTTTTATATTCTCGACTGGCAAATAATGTCCTATTTTAGATATTTTTTATCTTTGTTAGTCGTATTAGTGTTTGATAATATAACTAATCCATAATCCGTGCAATAAATGCGAAAAAAGCCTAACGATTATACTAGCGGTTCTTTATTAATATCTTATTATTATTTATTTACTTAAGAAAAGGGATTTACTATATCTAGAACCTACAGCATGGGTTTTTTCAAGAAAGGTATAAAGGTATCTTAAAGCAACTCACACTTGACACCTAGGGGTGTCAAGTGTGAGTTGCTTTAAGATACCTTAAACACTAGGGTGTTTCAGACATCCGTAGGTTAAGGTAATCGTTTATTATCGTATGGATTATTTACCACCATTGTGGTATAAAAACTGAGCGGCTGCCTACGTGCGGTTAATTAAAGTGAATGACTAGCGTTCTTACAACCTAGCGAAAGATCGACTGTATTCCCCCATTCTTAGGATAATATATAAATAACTAGCTTTCCCCTGGTTTCACCCGGGTGTACGTGTATTATACACATAAACATTCCTCTTGAAGAACTCTATCTATTTAAAAAACCGCTTCAAAAGTTTTAAAGCATATATGTATAGGGACGGACAGACAGCGACAGCGACTTTGTTTAATACTATGTAAAGATTATAAATAAATAAATAAACCCGGACAATTAAGACAGTGCCATCTACTCCCACGGTAAGCAGAGCTTGTGTTATGGGTACTAGGTAACTGATATAAATAGTTAGATATTGTTTTCTAAATACATACATACTTTATATATATAGAAAACACCCATACTCATAAAAACAATCATACTTATGAATACAAATGTTTGCACCGTGACAGGAATCGAACCGACTATCGAAAGTAAATCGGTATTAATATCTTTTGATATAAAATACTTACAAGCTGTGTATATAGGATTGTATGTGGTAACAATACCACCAGCATTGAGTATTCCAAACATTACAGTTGGATATTCTGGTATATTCGGCAGCATGACACCAACAGCGTCGCCATCTTGAATGTTAAATTTTCTTCTAAGACTTGCACCTAGCACCTGACTCTGTTTGTATACTTGTTCGTATGTGTAGTTTCTTTTTGTAACTGCACATATCTGTAAAATATTTGACGATAATTTTTTATCTGTATATTAATATGTAAACAAAATCTTTGAACCACTTTTTACGAAAATTGCGTGGACGGTAGCAGTGTGAAATTTCGGACACTCATCCTCATCCTTACCAAAGTTATAAATGCGAAAGTAACTCTGTCCGTCTATCTGTATGTCTGTTTGTCTGTCTCGCTTTCACGCCAAAACTACTAAACCGATTTAAATGAAATTCGGGAAAGGAAATAGGCTACTTTTTAATGCGAAAAATGGGTTGAAAGGGGACATGAAAGATTGTATGGAAGAATCGTCATTTTTAAAACGCTTTAAACTTATTTTTCTGGCTGTTGATTAAATACAATTAAATATAACATTCAGTTTATAAAAATGTTACCCTCAAGGGGGTAAAATAAAATAAAGGATGAAAGATTCCATGTAAATTCGTAATTTTTGGAGATGGAACGATGAAACTTTTTTATTTGATTTTTATTGGGTTAAATTATTCAATATTTTTTCATTATTTGATCAAGGTCACTATTTTTTAAGTCGAAGTCGCGGGCACATCTAGTATTTTATAAAAGCAGAATGGTAATATTTTTAAAAATTATGCATTAAAAATAGATTAAATCAATAAAAAAAACATTGCACACACTACCGTGAACATACTCTTACCAATTGACAAATCAATTGGTAAAATCTGTGATCAAATTTCCACCACTGAGCGACCACATGTTAAATCACCACCAATGTAGACTTTGTTAAAAGGGCTTTTGTCTCTCCTATTTCAGCCGCTAAATAGCTTGTTTTATTACTATACTGTGTTTAGCTTCAATGGTTACTTTATCGAACTATTCTAATGCTGTTAACTACGGCTTCACAGAACGATATGGAGCATATGGCAGTCCAAACCCGCGGAAGGACTTATGGAGCGACTAAAGGCCCGCTTGACAGATACGACTTTAGTCTGAGTGCACCGCTTGGGATGCCAACCAAAATAAATAATAAATCTTTATTTGCCACTAAACTAATAATTTCAGGACAATTCACACAGCGCCATCTAGACCCATGTTAAGCTAGCTAAAGCTTGTGTTATGGGTACTAGATAACTGATAAAATTTTTTTCGTAAAAACATACATATTATTCATAAAAACACACAGACCGACACAATCATACTCATGAATACAAAAGTATGTGCCGTGCGATATTATTCATTAAAAAGGCCGTTAAAATGCTTTAATATTAATGTTAATTACAGCAAATAACATATTAGACAGAATATTTTTTTTTAACTTAAATGATATTAAAATAGCAATATATTTTTGTATTCATACAACAGAATATTTTTTTCGTTTAAAACTTATTTTTAAAATTTTGAGTCTAACGAAACTAATTGTAATGGGACAGTATCGTCAGTTAAATAGAAAAATGGCAGTATTCAAATTGTATATACAAGACAAGCACTTAAAGTTTTTTTTTTAATTTATATAAATTATTTTTCCATTTAAAGTTCTAAATTTACACAGAAGTATTATAAGTATATCATTTTAAAAGTATTTAGGTAATGATTAAGACGGCGTGGTTAATTTAATTGACTTATATAAAAGGAGGCAATTCTAGCTTCTAATTTTGAAAAATGACATTTTTCTTTTTAAGCGACGATATATTTTACAATTACAACTCGTGTAGACTACTTATTTTTATCTAAAATAAAATATCAATTTATATATTCAAGAAATACCTGCTAGACAAATACGATCAGATATGATCATGAATACATTTTTTTTTGTATTATGCGTGTTTTGACCTTGCAAGCAATAGGTGAGGCAGCCTGATCGACACAGTTAAATTAACCTCGAGTTAAAGTAAGAATGCACAGAATAAAATAAAACAGAGACACAGTTTTAGTATAAAAAAATATAATTTATTTTTTATAACTTTATTCAAGTGGGTTTATTACAGACTCTTATGATATGTCAAATCTACCGTCAGTTCGGAATGATTTCGAGATGAGAAGAATTGACAAGAAACTCAGCTCGTATTATTTTCAAATAAATGTTGTACATGTTTACAATAATACAGATTCATTATAAATTCAAATTTGAGAGAATAGAGTCACCACTCTAACACAGTAATATACCTGAAACGAAAGGCGCTAAACATGTAAAACTGGTAGAGCTCACTGTGTGGAAAGAAGTACACCTAAAAACCATGCAATAAAAACAAATAGATATTACTAACAACTAAAATAATTAAAGAAAAATTGCCTTGTATGCCATTTATACGCGGTCGAAATGGGTGCGAGAGGTATACCAGCGAAATCTCTCTACAATCTTCTAATAGATCTTGGACTGTCTAAAACTGCTAGAGTTCTATGTTCTATCTAGAAATGTATGCAATTCATTCTTCATATTTTATCACTATTTAAACCTTCCCTGGACTACCACAATATTTTTAGACTAAAATTAATCAAATCGGTTCAGCCTTCTCGATTTTTAGCGAGACTAACGAACAGTCATTCATTTCTATATATATATATCATGACAGCCTCGGTGGTCTAGTGGTTTAGCACACCGCTTTACTATCCGATGGTCGTGGGTTCGATTCCTCGCACGGTACAAACATTTGTATTCATGAATATTATTGTTTGTATCGGTCTGAGTGTTTTCTATATATAATATGTATTTATTTACAAAAAAATATGTATCCATGTATTTATATCATTTGTCTAGTACCCTTCACACAAGCTCTGCTTAGCTTGGGACTAGATGGCGCTGTGTGAATTGTCCTGAAATATTATTATTGTTATTATTATATGTGTAGATAGATTTAGATATGTACCAATTTTTTTATACAACATCATTAAATAATATTAATGATACAGTGATAAACTGTTTAAGAGATGCTCTTATTAGACCAAGATATGAAATGTATCTATGTACAAATAGTGTTGAATGTGTTTTTATAACAAAAAACTTGATTTATCTATTCCGCACTTTGTACCTATGTATTTGTTAGTGTATTCTAATAAGATGAATAATTCATTGTACACTGTAGCTACCTTTTTTTTTTTTTCGGTCTACTCTAATGCTGTTTATACATTTTTATAACACTGTTGACAACTCGCCCGACGGAGCGCCATCTAGTCGAACCTCGGCTCAAGATCCCCGTTTGAATTGGACAGAGCTTGAGTGTGTTGTAGCTACCTAAGTTTTTATACATTTTAACTTTTGACAATTAGCACAGCGCCATCTAGTCCCAAGTTAAGCAGAGCTTGCGTTATCAGTACTAGACAACAGCAATATAAATAGATATATATTTTTAAATAGATACATAATGTACATTAACAATTCCCAGACTGATACTTTAGTATGATTGAATACGAATGTTTGCACAGTGCGAGGAATCGAACTCGCGACCACCGAATGTAAGAAATAAAAAAATAAGCATGTAGAAGTCGAAATATACTTTAAATATATTTATACTAACAGAATAGGCATACAATCATACGTATGAATATAAATGTTTTTCACCGTGCGTGGAATCGAACCCGCGACCACTGAATGCAAGAATTATAAAAATGAGCGTGTAGAAGTAAAAATATATAGATATATACATGTACGTATATACATATACCAGAAAATACCTATTCCAATACATATAAATATTATAAACATAAACAGTTTACTCTGTGGTACTTCCTCTCTACCATAAGTTACATTGTCTGTGGTTATTTGTTATTACTATTTTGAATAGCGTCTAAAAATAAAAAAAACTATAAACATAACGTTTTAACTGGATTATAATATTATAACATCAAGCTCTCGACGTTGTTACAAAAGTATAAATAACCTAATCACGTGATAATCAGCAAATATCCCGTTATATAATACATAATAATCTACAATAAACAAATACATTATTTTAACGCCTTACTTACCGTTGCTGTTTTAGTTGGGTATTTATCTAGCACTTGCCATACATATTCCGCAATGGTTACGTCCGGAACAACAACATCTTTGAATGGAGACTTCACTATTTTCTCATCATTCCACACGTGGTTCTTCCTTGCTAACACACCAAATATATTATTATTAACTTTATTGTATACATTCCTTAAACGGAACCCTTGTTTTATTGACATATTTGATATACAAACAGAACTTCCAACATGTGTTCGCTATGCGCAAACAATAAGGCGAATGTTACATTAGCGTTTACAAAACAGGTTGTTACGTAATTATCATAACATGATACAGCGATAAATGTAAATAAATACACGCGTAGGTACTGTCTTTACTAGGTATGATTATTTTTTTATGCGTATAGTGATATGTAGTACAGATAACTAGACTAAAAACTATATAAATGAATAGTAAGAGGCCTATCACGTACGCATTGTATTATAGCAGCTGAATAAATAATTTCAATGTCATTGCTTTGTCTTTATCCCGTTATTTGTAATCGCTGTAAGTCAGCTTCCACTGATACTAACGCTGTTATTTTTTTTCGGACTACTCTAATGCTGCAGGCGTATCATGAGCTCTTATTCCCATTCAGTTTACGACTTAAACTGAACTGCATGGAAACTGACTGGATTTTAAACCAGAAAAAAGACACATAAACATATATTTGAATGAGTACACTGTTTACTTAAAAAAACGAGATTAAAGGCACCTCTTAAACTACGTATAAATTGCTCAGAATATATCAATCAAGGTATATCAAGAAAATGAATATATCAAGGTATCAATTTATACGTAAAATTGATACCTTACAGTATAAATTCTGGGCAAAAGGGGCTGACTCAGCTGATGCTGTGACTGTAACGTTTACACGTACGCTGTACAGCGCTGATTTATCCTTCTTAAAACCTGAACAAAACTTTCGAAGCAAACTGCTTAGAGACAATTTTTTTTTTCGTATTCCAAACAACCTAATGTGCACGTATGTTTGTCTATTATAAATGGGAATCAAAGTTTTTGGAACAGCAGGTTGCATTTTTACCATTACCAACCTGCTAGAAAGGACCTTCGACAATACTGGCTACCAAGAAAAAGTATCGCCACTTAAAATTAGAAAAAATGATTCAATTTAAAATTAGAACTGCCGCAATAACTACGGTCCGAATTTATTATTTTGAACTAGAAATAATTGAACTAATTTTAGTGTAAATACTACCGTGTTATTTTTTGTTTCGATTAGGCTTAGTCATTACATAGTATAAAATAAAGTCGCTGTCGCTGTCTATCCGTCCCTATGTATGCTTAAATCTTTAAAACTACGCAACGGATTTTGAAGCGGATTCTTTTAATAGATAGAGTGATTTTAGAGGATGTATATATATATATATATATAATACATGTACACCCGTGCTAAGTCGGGCGAGTAGCTATTATATATAATATATATTATATAAATAAAATAATTATTATTTCCAGTACATTTTTTATTTACGCATAATATCTTTTATAGTAATATTTTGTTCGATAAGATCGACATACAATGGTTGGCACAATGCTTAATCTATTCCTATTTTACAACCTCAGTACCTAACTTTACTCCATTTTTCTTATAATCTCATAATCAAATTAATTATTCATGTAGGACATTTTAGCCGCTTATGATACTACCAAAGCCACAAATATTATTTATAGGAAATATATAACTAATATCATATATTTCATATAAATATATAATAAAAAAATTAAAAAGGCATAGTATTCTGATGGAATTTCAAACATACAAGCTGGAAAACATTTATTACCATTAAACATTTTTAATATGTCTTAACAGATATGTTTTATATGTTTAACAAACTAATATATTTCATATATATAATTAAAAAAGTCAGAAATTTCTGATGACATTTCAAACATGTTCTAAAACTTTGATTACTTTTAAACATTTTTTATACGTCTTAATATAAATATTTACCTCTCGCAACTAGTGCAATCTACTCAAATCGTCTTAAGAGAGACATACCTTATAGTCTATAAAATTATTGTGTTGTACAACATGATTTTATAAGAGCACCAACCGAGTTTATTGCTCATTTTTCTCGGTTCATACAGCATTCCAACTGTTAACAGAATAAAAATAAATACAGCCAGTATTGCAACAAGCAATCTTTCACAGATAGCATGGAAAATAAAATGAGAACAGAAAAAAATATTATATTATATAAACATCTATAAAGCAGCCTCACATTGTCATAAAATCGAGCGGTTATTTAACAAATCATATAAAGATAGTATAAAAATAAGTAATACTTCAATAACAACACTATACAAATGTTAAAGCTAATTTCTACTCTATATTATTGTGCATCATATTAATAATTGCAATTATCATTCATTCATTCATTCAGTCATTGAACAATATAGTCCGCCTACAAAGTCTCCCACACAAATAATAAAAGACTGTCCAAAATCATCGTCAGAGATAGTTATTACTACTCAGTACTATAATAATAACAACATTAATCAATTCACAAAGCACCATCAAGACCCAAGCTAAGCCGAGCTTGTGTTATGTGTACTAGATATATATTTTTTTGTAAATACATAGAAAACACCCAGATTTATACAAATAGTCATGAACAATGGATATAATATAGAAGCCATTGCAATATAGTATACCTTTGGTCCCAGCACCAAGTATAAAAAATAAACATCAGTCAGTAAGACACGTCCAGACATGTTCAATCTACATACTCAGTTCTAAGAGGTATATATATATATATATATATAGAGACAATAGTAGTAGTAATCAAAACTAAACAACTTTACATAAGTCGAAAATGGAAAATAGTTTTTGCAATCTATTGGCCTTCATTCTTTTTATAAATGTTTATATTATTTAGATACTCTTTTTTTTATACGTAATTTTTTTTCTTTATTTTAAACCCTATTAAGGAATATATGTACATAATGATTACTGTTTTATTTTTCTTAAATAATAATAAATCCAATCACGTAACAATATAACATGAAAAGTGCGAAAATAATTTTTTGACTTCTACTTTGTTTCTTGTTAACATTAGTTTAGTTTCAGTATTCTACATTGTCTTTGACTTTACTTTACTTTACGACTATCTCAGCCTGTTTTAATATGTATTCCTATTAAAATACCTATGAATAAAAATCGTGTTATTTAATGCTCAATGATAATGCATACTATAAACATTATTATACAATGGTCTGTAATTAAATCAGACAGGTCTGAATGCGTCATTACTCTATGACTATTGTTTATGATATTACAACTATTATAAAAACAATTTATTGAAATGCAATAAAATTATAACAGTATTGACATGATAAAATTAATATAAAACATTGTTTTGCAAAAAAGTAAAAAAGCAAAAAGTAACTTTTTTGCAATTTTTACCCCAATACAAGGTTATACGTTACGTTACAAAAGCAAAAGGTCAATACTGTACGTCTATATTTTTATTTCATTGTTAGACGCATTTTAATTATGAAATAATAATTACATATAATTTTTCAATAATATAATTATACAATATAATACAATCGTAAACAGGCCATGGTTGTACATTAAATGTTTTTTTCTAAAAACAAATTGTACACGTTACTCCAACTAAATAATAATCTTTATTCACAAATATATCAGTACAATTTTATACATTTAGTAAACCTGTTCCACGAAAGACAATTCCCTCCGACATACTATAAGCATTTTTATTACATTTGTAAATAGTTGTGTATATACTATATGCATTTTTATCCAAGTTTAAAAGGTTTTAAAATTTATTATCTGTTTGTGTGTACATCTGTGCACATTCAGATATTTCTTAACAGTTATACTTAAAGCTATCTACCAATCAATTATTACAGTTCAACAATATTTAGCCTTCAAGTCTTTTCTCAAAATCTTCCCTGAAGCACTCTTCGGTATGCTCTCCAGGAATACTATATCGCTGATCCTCTTGTACGACGCCACCTTCTCATTGACAAAGCTGCTGATATCCTTAATATCTGGTGTTTGACCACTTTTAAGTACCACAAATGCTTTGGGTGCTTCACCATGTGTCTTGTGAGGTACGCCGATGACAGCCACATCGAGGACTGACGGATGTTCTCGTATCACGCCCTCTAGTTCTGCAGGTGGCACTTGGAAGCCTTTGACCTGCAATTTTAGGTTTGTATTGATTATATTCAGATAAATAATCGATTAATAAGATTCGATTTAACTAATCGATTTTGATATACCATAAGATCGAATAATCATAATGTAATATTATATGTATACATACGATTTCTTTTAACCGTTTCTCACAGAAATTGCTCAAGGGAAATTGTCAGATAAAAAATTTATGGGTGGTGGTGGTACTAGACAACTAATATAAATACATAGATACTTTTTTTAAATACATACCTAATGTACAACCAATCATACGCATTGTCAAATGTTTGCACCGTGCGAGGAATTGAACCCGAAACCATCTGATTAAGCGGTGTACTAAACCACTAGAGCAGTGAAGCCGTATATTTAGTTACTAGCTACTCGCTGTACATATATTATAAATAAATATAAACCTTCCTCTTGAAACACTCTATCTATTTAAAAAACCGCTTCAAAATCCGTTGCGTAGTTTTAAAGATTTAATTCTCACGAAGAAACGAGGCATCCATAAAGCCTCATACAGGGCTCATGAGGCATCATACAGAGTAGGATCCCCCCCCCCCCTGCGGACCCCGTTCCGTGAACGAACACAGACCACTGACTCAAAGAACACTGACCTTTATGAGTTCTTTAATCCTATCTGCAATTATGATGTGTCCATTCTCATCGATTACTGCCATATCTCCACTTTTGAACCACCCGTCCTTTGTGAAGGTTTCTATATTGGCCTCAGGATTGTCCTTATAACCACGCATCACCTGAGGACCTCGTATTAGCAGCTCTCCTGTCTGAAATATATAACTAATAGCTATAGCTAGGAAGCCACAACACATATATTTGACCCCTCTGATCGATTCCCCATCCAAATCAAACGGGGATCGAAATTACGACGGCCAAAGCCGAGGTTCGAACCCCTAGCGGTGCCCACAGAATAAAGTCGTATCCGTCATACGGGAGTTGGCCTTCAGCCGCTCCATAAGTCCTTCCGCGGGTTTAGAGTGCCATCTGCACTCATCCCATATCGTCCGGTGAAGCTGTAAAGGCCAGCTGCGGCCAACATCATTAGAGTAGTCGAAAAAAAAAAATTTTTTTGCGGAGCAAACAGAACGAGGGAAAAAAACGAATGAACAAAATAAATAAAAAGCAAAAAGGACCTTCATTCTATACAATAAAGGTGTAATGTAAAAAAAACTTGTATAAACATTCTATTAATTTTTGGTTATGGAATGCATGTATGTAGAACTTGTAATAATATAAGTTAATAGTATGCATTATATATTATTATATGTTAGTCATATTTATTGAGCAAAGCCTATTACTCACTAAACGATTACTTAAATGACATACATACGTGCATGACAATAGTTGTTCATACGCTGGATTTTCATTTAACGGATTTTATAAACAATGTAAATAAACTGACTATTAAAAAGGAATATCATATACTGAACAGGGCAGACATAAATGATTTTTGAATTCGATTTAAGTTACTAGTTAGGTAGTTGTTACTTGATTAGTACCTATATATAATATTATAAGTTATTTAGATATATATGGAACACAGAACATATCAAAATAAATAACAATGAAAAACTCAACAAAAAAACAGTACAAAAATTAATCATACCTCATTAGGGCCCAATTCTTTCAAATTACTATCGACGATCTTCACTTCTGTGTTAGGCACGGGTCCACCAACGGAAGCATAGTGTTCTGTTAGTCGAACTGGCAAAGCAACTACTGGCGATGTCTCTGTCAGGCCGTATCCTTGCCGGAAGTCTATTTTGCGCTAAAAAAAATATATCTGTGACCTCCGTAATCAATTTGAGCAAAATGCCTAACTTTCTGTTGATAATACATAGTAGTTTATTATTTTATTTTATTTATTCATTTATTTCGGACTAGCTGTGCCCGCGAATTCGTCCGCGTGTTATAGTGACCTTGACCAAATATAGAAACAATATTTAATAGTCTAACCCAAAAATGGCAAAGATAAAATATTCCTCGTTATAGCCACAAAAATTACTATTTTCTGTATAAACTTTCATCCCTTTAAGAGTAACAATTTTATAAACTTAATCATATTTATTTATATTTAATTAACAGCCTAAAAATAACTTTCAAGATTTTAGTTTTAAAAATGACGATACTTCCATAGAACATTTCATCTCCCCTTTCAACCCCTTACCACCCTTTATTCATTAAAAAGTAGCCTATGTCCTTTTTCAGGGTTTAGACTATCTGTGTACCAAATTTCATTTAAATCGGTTCAGTAGTTTTGGCGTGAAAGCGAGACAGACAGACAGACAGAGTTACTTTTGCATTTATAATATTAGCAGTGGGGAACAATGGCATAGTAGCCATTTTTAGTTCGAAAAACGGATTTAGATGGCGTCATTGGTATCGAATGGAATTCAACATTGTTTTGTAATCGTTTAAAACCCAAAACTATGTTTTTAAAAAGGTTTAATCTATTTTTAAAAAGTCATATATAGATGTTAAAATGAAATAATGCGTTTTAAAAAGTAATTTTCATATATTTACTCATTTTGTTGTTGCCCTGTAGTTGTTTACAATTTAATCATTGCTAATTGGGGCTTATTGTTTCCAAAAGACTTTCATAGATGGCGCTGTTTTCATTTGTATCACCGTATTTTAAATGTTTATTTTATATTTTCAAATAATAAGTACTTACTATATTATTATGATAAATTAAACATAAAAAAAGTTTAAGTAAATATAAAACAGCTAAACAAGAAAACCATATTATGCCAGTAATACTTATTTAGAAAGTGTTGCCATATCAAAAATAAATGCATAGATTACCGATTTTTTCGAATAATCGATAACAGGATATTACAACGCATTATTCGATGGTGCTTTTAATTAGTCTTTGCAAACAGTAAAATTTCATCATTTTGTATTATACTCTTATTTGGAACGAATTGCAATGCGTAATTTTTACTCGACGACGGCAAAATAGAGAGATTTTGACAGGTATGCAAGTACTATACATTTATCTGTTCGCTCATAACTTTAAAACTTGAAGAGGGAAATATTAATTAGATTGATCTGATACAAGTGTATTCTATTATATCAACCTCCACGCGGTCACCCTGGTAATTATAGCAATTAATGACATTAGTGACATTGTTTTTCTATTAAAAAAATAAATACCTACTTATTGTAATTTAAAGAATGAGAATTGAATGTGGTATTGAGTATATAAGGTCAGCTATACCTTTATGAAACCTCAATAAACAAGTGTTATATGGTATCTAAATTACTGACATTGATAGCTAAATATGAGGATCCTCGAATTTTTACAAATACTCATAAGAAACTTTACAAATACTCGAATTTTGCTTTTGTAGAAGGATATTTTCAACCTTACTAAATTGTACAAGGTTTTGAAACGATAATCATTCATAATACTATGATATATTACTTATCCTAATACCTACTACTCATGATAATTAGTTTTTTAATATCTCCATTCGAGGGTAGGTTATTCATAATTTATATTATTAGATTTCATCACAAATAAAAATATCGATTTAAAATCGTAGGTTGGTCCATATTTTTTTATTATATCGAAATGACAACAAGTACTGGCAACATAAATGAAAGGTTAAAAATATAAAATATAGGAATAAAAGAATAGGATAAACGACTTTAAGTCAAATGCTTAAAACATATTTTCACTAGCATTGGATTTTTCTCTTTTTTCATCATTTAAGTTAAGTAGGTACTGAACAATTCAACTTTTGAATTGTTCCTGTTCAGAGTTCATTGAACTTCTTATTTTTTTGTCAAACTCAATAATTTAAATGTGTCTAAGAAATACTACAAATATTTAGTAAACTATCGTGTCTTTGAGGATTATCTTATACCAGGTATAACTATAAGTTGTTAAAAACTTGCATATGTAGCGTGTGTATCTTTCATATTAAAATATAATAAACATATGTACTTGGTGACCGCTTTAATGTGGTATTATTATGTTTTTATTATTGTTATGAATGTAACTTCAAAAAACTAACACTGATTTTATAATTTTTGATTGATTGACAAAATACTGAAAATTATTAATCAAAATAAAGTACTAAACAGTAGTATTATTTTTATATTTTATTAGAACTGAATGAATATGATGTATGAATAATATGTTTATTGTGCTAATAAGGTTACAGTTTAGTTACTTTCATGTAAATTCATTCATGTAAGTTCATGAAAATGTAACATAGGTATATGATATTGTTTTCAGATTTTCCTGACATCAACAACTTAATACTGAACAAAGTTTAAACAAATAAGAGATGATATTCTAAATCTCCTAGTCATTCAGATGAAGATAAATAACATTTTTACTGTGAAGAACAGGAGTTCAAAAGAATAAGAAATATATATGTATATACATATGAACATTTTACTGTATAAAATAATAATGCAAGTAAAAATAAGAGAAAAAAGCAGAAGAAAAATCTGTAAATTATTAATCACAATGCAATTAATGATATAATTAAATAAGTAAGAAAGCAATGCACTAGTGATGAGAAGAAATTCCAAGTAATTATATTATGTGTAACCGACTGCAAATAAGTTTATGATTTAAACACATGATTATTATTATATTGCTTCATCAACAAATCCAGGAATATTTTGTGTACCAGGAATTAATTATGAAATGATTGGAATATAATATAAAAATAACAGAAGTGTTTGAAGTTTTAGTGGTATAACAGACAAGCAGTGAAAGAAATATTATTGTAAATTATTAACAACATTTGTTTATTCTGTGATTAATAAATTATTTAAAAGTGTTTTGTTACCTGAAATAAAAATTTTATGATCTTCAAGTGTTGTGTTCATGCAATGTTAGTTTCACCTCATTCGATTTAAAATGTCAGGAATTATTTACTACATAATGATTTTGTATTAGATGGTAATCATATATATTTTTTAATGCAATGTGTATAATAATTCCCATTTACATCAAAAAACTTTGTGTAAATCTATATTTCTCTGTCTATAGACTTTGGTCATGGAATACTAATAAGAAACTAAATCTAGAGACTGTAGTATATCACAGCATCCCAGAACCTTGTATTTAAGTCATATAAGGACTTAGTACCTACCTAATACTTGCTACTTTTTTAATCAATTAATTAATTTGATCTCAATCATCATGATGAACAATGATGATAATGTTGAGAATACTGCCATGATGAATTTTATGGTGGTCATAAATAAATACCATCGTCACTATCGTCAACAGTCATTATTGATCTCATCATCATCACCGTTACCCTCCCTCATCCATATTGTCAAAAGTTACTACCTACTATTATTAACTGAAATGGTAAATAAGCTGACGATCCATCCAACCACGACGCTATCCGACGTACATACATACACATATATTATTAAACAGCATTACGTCATCATGTCGTGCCCGCTATATCCCGCATACGTTATCATTCCGGAGAACATAGATGTTATGTCCAAATATCCTGTAATTTCGCAGCTTAATTTCAACTGAATAGCAACTTACATAAATACAAAAAAACTAGCAGTAAAGGCGTAGTTTGTAGATATCGAAGGTTCTACAAATAGGTATAACATCAAAATAAGTACCTACATGGAATTAGCACCGATGTAGTATCCCTGAAAGAACCTATACATATAACAGATTGATGGTTTGCAGATATTATTTTCAGTTTTACAAATTGCCAGTTTACCATAATTAATTATATATTGAGAAATAATTATACACTGAAAATTATATGATGTACCCATATGCACATCAATTGATTATAGCTAAAATCTATCACTATCACATAACAATTTAAATAAAAAAAACCGTATTAAAATCGGGCTATTCGTTAAGGAGCTATTGCTCCTTAACCGATAGCCCGATTTTAGTGCAGACGCGTTACGACATATCTTCGTCGGGAGAAAAAAAGCCACACATGCCTAATGTAAAAAAGTAACTGTAACATAGTACATAGATACATAGGTACATTAGCCGTGTCTGTAGACTGTCAGCGAACAATATTATACCTACATTGAATTTTCGATTGTACCCAATCAGGAGTTCGATACAGTTATATATCTATTATGTACGTATCTTTGCAAAACAGATGTCATGTAGACCGAATTCTCTGCCATCTATTTTCATGCTTTATTACTAATCACCCACTAGTAATCCGAACTGCTTCAGATATAGCGACATCTAGCGCCTACGGCGGCGAAATAAAATAGCCCGAAGAATAGCCCGAGTTAGGAAGGAACCATTTTCTTGTATGGGATGGGGTATCTGTATGTAATATTATATTATCTGTGATATTAGTAAGGATGTCCATCCACATCGTAAATAATTAACCCTGGACAATTAACACAGCGCCATCTAGTACCACGGTATTATGGGTATTAGACAACTGATATAAATACTAAGATACATAGCAAACACCAAGACTGATACAAACAATCATACTCAGAAATACAAATGTTTGTAACGTACGAAGAATCGAACCCGCGACCATCGCAAGTGGTTTGCTAAACCGCTAGACTACCGAGACCGTTATTATTATGTTAGTAAACAACCACACACAGTTTATAGAATACTTACAAGTAATCCTTATAAAAAAGGATAACTATATTTCTAAAATACATGTAGAAATATATGGAAACAAATACGCTATTTTATTCCCATTGTCAAGGGTGAGTCAGCCAAATGTTCAGTGTTGTAAACAGAAAGATTAAGATACCTGAAATTTCTCCAATAATCTGTGAACATCTGAAGATGCGAATGGCGCTGCACCGTTATGTATTATCTCCAGGTACCGATAGGTTTTCGGCGAAGCGGACGGATGTGACGTCATTAATAATGCTGTAATAAAAAATTATAATACTGTTTTAAAACCAACAAGCTAGACTTATTTTACAGAAGTAACTCTTGGACAATAGTGCTCGGTCGGATTTCGCAAATCTTTAACACATAATTCCCTAACATAACTGCTCGATGTTTTAAAGTGACTTTGACTGTTGGCACAAATTTTGATAAAATATTATCGTTCTATTTGGAATTAAGACTATTTTAATAGTAAATATTTTGTTAATAAACGATATCAAAATAATAAGAAATGATACGATATCATTATATATAAGAATTATGTATATAACATTGATTGTTGTATATATGTACAGTTCTTATATATATAAGAAGGGTATGCTAAAGTTTCTTAAGGGTCAACGCACGTGACAGCCTTGGTGCTTCAGGCGTCATAGGTTATGGTAACCATTTACCATCAGATGTCACAAGGGCCGTATGCTTCATTATCACCATCCTAGTATTATAAAAACAAAGATAGCCAATACATAAAAGACTTTTTTTACTTTACTCGAGAAGACAAATAAATCGCCAATACTTCCGATGATCGCGGGTTCGATTCCACGCACGGAACAAACATTTGTATTCATGAGTACCATTGTTTGTATCGGTCTGGGTGTTTTCTATGTATAATAAAAATATATCTATGTATTTGCATCAGTTATCTAGTACCCATAACACAACCTTCAGTTAGCTTAACTCGAGTCTAGATGTCGCTGTGTGAATTGTCCTTTTATTATTATTTTTACTTCTATTTTTATTATTATTACTTCTCTGGAGGTACAGAATTAAACTCCTACTGAACTCACCTATTGGCGGTGCAATGTGCATAATATTAGTCTTGTATTTTTCGAGAGCTTTGAAGAAAGGTTCTGGCTGAAATTTTGCCAATGTAACAACCTTGCAACCGACTAGCATTTTGTGGAGCATCGTCACCGTTGCGCCGTAAATGTGGAAAAAGGGTAGAACAGCCATTACTGCATCCTGATGTGTTTCTAAAATGTATTACAGGAAATATAAATATCTTTAAATGAGTGTGTCAACGCAATAAAATTAGAAACCAAATATATAATCTATATCACACCAAATAGTGAAAATAGTAAATGTACATTAACTGATACAACAGGCTGTCTTCTCGATAAGCAATCTCTTACAGACTCTCACAGAGCCAAACTCTTACAGACTACCTTTGGGGAGAAAAAGAAAATTAAGATAAAAATAAAGATAAATATATATGTCACATCTGTGCATATAAATAAAATTGGAGTCTGTTTGTAATATCGAAATAACCGTTTTTTACTACATGCCTAGGAATATAAATACGGTATATACACCACAATAACATTTTCTACAATTTTTATCTGTCTGTTTGTTCCTGCTAATCTCTGAAATGGCTGAACAGATTTTCACGGACCTTTTTTGACACATAGCTGAATATAATAAGAAGTAACTTAGGCTACTTTTATTTTAGAAAATGAAGTTAAATTCTACGCGGACAAAGTCGCGAGTACAGTTAGATATAAATAAATAAATAGAATAGACTAATAGACTTCACAAAACGTCATAAAAAACTTACTAGTCGTATCGTTGTGATGTTTTATAGATGGTTCGTTTAGCTGCAAGCAGTTTGCTATTATATTTCTATGCGACAGCTCAACTCCTTTAGGCAGTCCTGTGGTGCCACTTGAATATGGCAGAAAGCATATATCATTAACACTTCTCCTTACTTTCTTCAAACAGGACTTGTCTACGTGAACGTCTTCAGACAATTCGTTGAATAGTACCGTCCCCTCAGGTATAGGATCTCCGTTGGTCCTTATTACTATTATAGGTAGGTCTATTTTAGCTATCTTAAATGCCTCTTTGATAACTTTGGCTATTTCTGGCAAAGTGACCACTACTTTTGCTTTAGATAATAGCAGTTGGCGTTGAACTTCATCTGCAATAAAAAAAATATGAAAATCTTAGAACAATTCACACAACGTGATCTAGTGTTATGTTATATTATGGGTACTAGGCAACTGATATAAATATATATTATAAATAGAGCTTGTGTTATAGGTACTAGGTAATATAACTACATTTTTATAAATACATACATATGTATATGCATAGAAAACAGCCAGACCGATACAAACAGCTCCCTTTGTTGTTTCGATTCGTAAGGTTGATTGGGCAGTGATATATATATAAAATAAGAGGCATGACTTAGTGCTTTGGAATGGCAACGCATGAGGATATCATGGGTGACACATGATAACGTGATATCCGTTATGCTATTCATGTATATAGGTGACAGTTACTGTTCACCATCAAGTTGCTAGATTATTTCATCATAATCTTGACTTTGTCCCAATATTTGGGGTCGGTACAGCGTCTCATGTTCTTCCACTGATCTCTATCCGCCATCACATCTGAGTTTACTCTCCTTTTATACATATCTTTCTCGCAATCCGTTCAGGATTGTGGGATAAAAACTCGACAATGATGATGACTATGTCGGCAGTACATATAGTAATAGCGAGAGCTATATGCTGTACCGTCCCGTACTTGTGACTAAATGAAATGAAATCAAAAATCATTTATTGATACAGGACAATTTAATCTTCTTAAGAAAATGATTTTTTTTGTATCAATATTTTGTTCATTTCCTGACTATACATTAACATAAAAACAATTTTTTTTTGGTCGACCTCTCCCTTTCCACCCATACATGAATCCTTTTTTAAGACATAGTCCTCGCTCCTCAGCATACCTTATTTGTCATCCCAATTATAAAAAAATAGTAAGTATAAAATGTTTTGTCCACAACAGACGTTTTATCATATCGCTTTATCTAGTCGTAAAGCGTATCTAACACTACAACTAATAGAGATACTATGTTAATATGTAATTACATAATTAAAGCAACCAGTCCGAACAATAGCTTAAGGAAAATATACTTACGTGCAGTGTAAATAGGGTTTATAGTGGAAATAATACCTCCGGCTTCTAATATGCCTATAGCCACTAGTGGGAAATCGGGGATGTTGGGCAACATGACCGACACCACGTCGCCATCTCGGATGTTGAACTTAGTGCGAAGGTTAGCAGCGAACGCGTTGGATAAGTAAAAGGCCTGCTCGTAGGTATAACCTCTACCAGTCAATGAGCACACCTGGAATTATACCAATAAACTTATATTATAATAACCATAATAATAATATCCCTGGACAATTTACACAACGTCACAAAGACCCAAACTGAGCAGAGCTTTTGTTTAGGTACTAGACACATGTTATAAATACTTTATTTTTGTAATTTCATACATTATGTATGTATACATATATAGGTCTGGCCATAAATACTGTTACAAATAAAAATAAACAAATTATTACATTTGAATTTGGAATCTGTCATTCTTTTATGGATGTTCATTGGAATGGCGCCAATTGGTTGTCAAATATTTTTGTGATATTAAAATGGAGTGTGGTGATAAAGAGAACTGAATCGATATGATTGTAAAATAGGTATGGAGCCACATACAATTTCAGAAACTCTCCATCCGCAGTCGATTGTTTGTCATCGAAACGTGCCTATTGGTGCCCCTCCAGCGCAAAGCGTTAGCGCAGGCGGGTGTGCACCACTTCATTATAATTAAAATATACTTATATATTTTAAAGATGGTAAAATTAAAGTTAATTTAAATAAATAATTATATCAGAAATAGTGTTATATACTATACATTTACATCGTTTGATCGTTTATATCATAAACATGTTTACATTTTTCTACAATGTTTATAAATTCAAGTAGTAGGTATATTTGGCAAGTGTTTTTACGTATTAGGTAACCACTTTAAACTGTTATTTGTTCCTACCTAACAAACTTGGCTTCTTTTCTGAAATATTTCCAAATATTTAAGCAATATATGTATACTTTAATATCACTCGGATTTGTCTTGCTATTTGTACGTACGGGCAGAAAATCGTTTATGGTAAAAACCAGTGATCTAAAAATATCGCAACAAAATGCACGTGTTTTATTCAAGTCATTTTGGGGAATTTTTTCGGAATTCGAAATGGAGGTCATTGAGATATTTCTGGATCACAAAAATATTAAGATCTATTTTTGAGAACTAGAAATATCTCAATGATCTCCACGCAATGATTATTCTAGTCATATCGGCAAATTTGCTACGAATTTATTATGATTGGGTCCGGTGTAGACCGCGTGTAGATCGACCTAGTACATTGCTGGCAATAGTTTTTTTTTTATTATAATGAAATGGTGCACCCGCCTGCGCTAACGGTGTACAGTGGCTGAGCACCAGTGGAGGATGATAATATGAGCATGAGGTCAGGTCAGTTAGCCCATCGTGATAAATTCACCTGGAATTTATCACGAGGGTTTCCAGGCGGATCCGCGTGGAGGTCAACCTGACATGGTACATTGTTAGCAATGGGTTCAAGAGTCCACGTTAAGAATAATCCCCTCCCCCTGCAGGCAATAGTGTCAATAGCTATACAATGGAGGAAAGGAGATTGTTAGTAATGTAGACTGATGACGACGTTGCTATCAATGTACCATTTCAGATTGATCTCCAGGCGGTTCACCCTGGAAATCATCATGATAAATTACTGCTGAATTTGTCAGGATGGGCTAACTGACCTGACCTCATGATCATTCTATCATCCTCCACTGGTGCCCTACCAGCGTAAACCGTTAGCGGAAGCAAGTGCACTATTGCATTATCATCAATTAAAAAAATAGCCATAAATCAGTCTCAAATCATTTGAGAAGATGCTATGTAGTGATTGAAGAGTGATAAGGCAGTAAAATTACAGAATAAGAGGCGTGACATCATAGTCCTTTGGAATGACAACGCATGAGTGGTATCACGGACATCACGTTATCATGTGACGCTGATAGTGCGATTCATGTGTATAGGCCACTTACCATGACATGGGCCTTTCTCGTGTACCTGTACATGTCTTTTTAATATATTTTTTTTCACAAGGTAAAGTTTATTTATATCACAATCTGCATGTACTATTAAAAATTAATACTAACTAACTTATATTATTTACGTCTTTTCTTTACACACTTTACGTTTTTTCTTTTCTTTACATTATAAATCTTATTAATATTACAAACGCGAAAGTTTGTAAGTATGGATGGATGTTTGTTACTCTTTCACGCAAAAACTACTGAATGGATTTTAATGAAACTTTACAGTAATATAGCTTATACATCAGAATAACATAGGCTATAAATTTCACGTGAATGAAACCGCGGGCACAGTTCCGCACCTTCCGATGGTCGCGGGTTCAATTCCTCGCACGGTGTAAATATTTGTATTCATGAGTATGATTTTTTGTTATGGTATGTGTGTTCTCTATGTATATTACGATGTTTATACAAAAAAACTATCTAAGTATTTATATCAGTTGTCTAGTACCTATAAAATAAGCTCTGTTTACCATGAGACGCCATCGCTGTGTTAATGGTTATTTATGATTATTATTACCTAGTAAAGTATATATTCTTTCGTGTTTGAAATTCCAATACAAAAAATTAAACTAAGGATGGCTACACAATAAGATGAGAAGGACAGAAGTAGGTACTTACCGATGCAGTCCTCTCTGGCCACTTGTCGAAATTCTCCCAAATAAACTCGTTCAGTGTACAGTTCGGGATATTAACATTCTTATGCGCCGACTTCACCACGCGATCCCGTATCCACACACTTTGTCTCCTCACGGGGATGACACCGTATTTTGAACTCTTACACAATGACCTAAAGGCCATATTCAATGTCACCGCGCTTCTAGACGTCATGCTGCCTCTGCGGGTATTAAAAGAATGAGTAAGTTTCAAATTATTTATCTCCATGAGTGATAAGCCTTATTTACTTGGTATGTGCATACCTAAATGTTTACTTCTATTATCTAGTACGGTTGTGTATAGTCCAAGTCTGTTTAATATCATAAATGTATTTTTATTATTAAATTAAAACGCATACAGTAACTGGTTAGTAACGTTAGTAGTAGTAGTTGTATCTGCCGAATGTACACCGTTAATATATCTCAATTAATAAAAAAAAACCCAATACATTATAGTTTCATTTAAATCAAGTAAAATGCTAGTTCTCTCAAAAAAAACGAAAAGCAGCCCTAAATCAAACAACAGCCCCACTTTCTCAGGTACATTATCTGAGAAAGTGAGGCTGTTCTTTCTGCCCCATTTTCTCAGGTACACAGTTTGTTTAAGACAAATTTTGCATTTGATAAAAGAATACACTATTATTTATTATTACGTCCTTAGCGATGTCTATATCATTCCTACTTCATTATAAAATGTAGAAGAATCCAAGATTATGTACGCTGCAGCCACCAACTTCTTGATGAGGGCTGTGTAACATCACGCTATGACTAATAAGAGAGGAGCATCTATGACAAATAGACGGAGCTGCGAGAGTCTGTTCACAGAACAAAGAGTTTGTTTTTATTGGATAATAATGAAATGGTGCACCCGGCTTTACTGGTGAAACCGCCATAGTAAACCGTTATCACAGGCGGGTGCACCATTCTATTATCATCCAATAAAAAAATATCTTCACTTATTACAATAAATGAATAGTAGTAGAGAACTCTACTCGGACTACAGTTTTAGAATCATAATAATCTATAAGTTTCATGAAATCTTATTTATTAATATAATATATAATATTAATAAATGATCTTGGTTCTTTGTTCGTTAATCGATACAATGATAAATAGATATGATAATGCACTATTAAACTGATAAGTCAACAGTGATATAAACAATCTCAACAACAAGGGTGTGAGTGTCAGAGATTTTTTTTATATATATACAATACCTAAGTCAAGATCATACCTGGTCCACTCTGAATAATATTTGTCACTACACAGATTTCAATGTATACAAATAAATAACATTTAAGTGTCAGTTTGTAATTTTAAATTGATAGCTATTGACTAAATGCATATGTAAGTATACAGTACATACATAAAAAAATATTTGAATTTTATTTACTGTCGGTCTGTTGGTTTTTGCTAATCTCTGAAACGGCTAGACCGATTTTGGCTTTCCTTTGAAATTTCATTTATTTTAATAAAAAGAAAGTTAATTTTTCTACGAGGACGATGTCAGTCGGGTAACAGCTAGTTATTATAAAAGGAAATATATACCCTAGAATTTTGTTGGCATATTCCAACTTTCAACTGAAACACGTGTAACAAAACAAGCTACTTGATAGCAATACGTGAGAGAGCTATTCGAGCATATGACTTTGAACTCAAGGGAAGGAAGGATATTTTATTTAGTTTAATTACTATTTATCTGATTATATATTTGACAGCATCGGTGGTCTAGCGGTTTAGCACTGCTTTACTTCCGATAGTCGGGGGTCGATTCCTCGCACGGTGCAAACATTTGATTGTTAGTATCGGTCTGGGTCTTTTCTATGTAATGTATGTTATGTGTGTACTTTCAAAAGAAATTTGTAAGTATTTATACCAGTTATCTAGTACCCATAACACAAGCTCTGCTTACTGTGGAACTAATTGGTGCTGTGTTAATTGTTTAGGTTTATTTATTTATTTATTTTAATTCTAAGTAGCGCTAAATAAAATATTAATACGAAGTACGATTACATTTACAGACTGATAACTGATAATTATGTTATAGTATATCAAAGTAGACAGAACAAAAATATTTGTAATTGTAGATATTGATAACAAATGATAAATCAGCAGCCACTGGTATTGTAGTTTAGTTATTCAGGGACAATATTATTTACTATCACTGATTTTGATACAATCGAAACGGTAAACAAGATGATAGAACTGACGTGAGTGGTAACAAGTCATCATCGATTTCTTCCTTATCTCATTTATTTGTGGTCGGCGTAATATTTTTCTTTTCCATTTATTAAAATCACTAATATCCTGACAACTTAGGCGTGATGCCGGTTGGTCAGGGAGAGAAACCCCCCAATGCCTAAAATATTCACAATTACCTATCTTTTATTTGTTTTTATAATAATATAATCTTTATGGCTCCAAAACTCCCGCTACCTCAGTTCAATCATCCATCAATCTACTTGTCAATGTCACACACTCAGGCCTCTGACGTTCCGTTTCAGGTTATATGACTATTGACTTTACCATTTTTAATTAATGGTGCGTCACAATGCGGTAACACATTCATCCTGCCTCTCTCACATTCATATGTATTACCTTATTTTAGTCTTGAATGGTAACAAGTGCGCCCATAATACCACTCATGTGGGGAAGGAGATTGTTAATAAAGTGGATGGACCCCATTACTGGCAATGTACCATGTTAGGTTGACCTCCACACATTTCCTGGTAACCGTTATGATAAGTTTCTGGTGAATTTGTTAGAATGGACTAGCTAATAACCTGACGTCCTGTTCATCCGATCATCCTCCACTGGTGCCCGGCCAGCGTAAACCGTCACCCGTAAAGCGTAAAGTCGAGTGCAGCATTCCATTATCATCCAATAAAAAAACCTCTTTGTTACGTGAACAGACTCGCGCAGTTCCGTCTGTTTATCATAGATGCTCCTCTCTTATTAGTCATAGCGTGATGTTACACAGCCCTCATCAAGAAGTTGGTGGCTGCAGCGTAGTCATAATGTTTACATTTTTCAATATTTTAAAAGGAAGTAGGTATAATACTCATACTGCTGAAGACAACTTAAAGAAAAGTTTTTTTTATCAAATGCAAAATGTCATAAATCAATTTCTCAAACTGCGGCGTACAAAATCTTGGATTCTTCAACATTTAAAAATAAAGTAGCTATCATACTAATAATGCTGGGGACGTAATCATAAATTAAAGTGTATTTTTTTATCAAGTGTAAAATTTGTCTTAAACAAACTTTGCAAACTGCAGCGCACATAATCTTGAACTCTTCAACATTTTAAAAGGAAGCAGATATGATATTGACATTGCTAAGGACGCAATCGTAGATTAGTGTATTTTTTTATCAAGTGCAAAATGTGTCATAAACAAAGCGTACGTTGCAGTCTGCCTTACATTTCTCAACATTTAAAAAAGAAGTAGGTATGATACTCACATTTCTGAGGACATAATTGTAGATAAAAGTGTATTTTTTATCAAATGCAAAATTTGTCGTAAACAAACCTCGCACTCTCATATCTTTATAGTTTTTAATATACTTTGAAAAACAACAGTGACATAATAACAGAATTGATATATTATCTATTGAACTGACTGCAATGTAGTGGAGTTGATAAATTTTGCGGTATTTATTATTTAGTGAATATTTCTTTCAAAGGATGATAATAGAATGAAGTACCCGGCTGGGCTCTGACGGGGCACCAATGGGGGATGATAAGATGAGCATGAGGTCAGGTCAGTTAGTCCATATATATATCACGATGGTTTCAAAAGGAAACCGCGTGGAACGGTAATGACCCAAAAACTGAACGAGACGATCTGATGATCGAGCCCAGTGTCCCTTCGGAGAGACCGACGTCTAGCAGTGAAATGAATTAAAAAAATTTTTTGAAACCGACTTTAAACTAAAACCTTTAAAGTTAGTTTTCCAAAATTTTTCTTTTGATATAATACAGATCATTAATGAGTGTGCAATTTAACGATAATTCATTGATTTTACTCAATTATGACATAAGGGAATAAATAGCATGAGTCTAAATACACATATATATGTAAAATTTGAGAAATTGGAGGGATAGTTATAGTAGTGAGGGGTAGTTGTTGCCCCAAAACTAGAAATGTACCATGTCAGGTCGACAACACTCGATCTGGGGATCAAATCATTGTAGTTTAATTCCTTAGAAATTCATTATGATTGTTGAATCGAGCTCACTTCATGCTTATATTATAATCCTCCTTTGGTGCTTTGTCAGTCTATATATATATATATATATATTAGCATAGGCAAGTTCATTGCTACCATCCATATAAAAAAATACTAAAATGTCACTAGAAACACACTACCCGAGATTGGCGATAAGAAAATTTCCCATTTTATCAACAAATGTCGATCATGACATTTGATAACATACTGTAGTGTAGTGATTTATCAATTTGTGATAACAAAATGTTATTGGGCAACAATAATATTGACGTTTGTGTTACCCAACTACCTGCTGCAGAATGGAGGGTTATATTGCATTACCTGGTTTCGAACAGGTTATATAACTATTGAAGATATCTGTATTTTTTTAATATATAACTCGCCCATAATGTACCTTTTTATAAGTAAAGGAATTTTCAAGATATGTTAAATATCTTTTTATATTCTCTGGTTAAACGTACATTGACATATACATTCATTTCTTTTTTCAATTCAAAATATTTTTATTCATGTAGGTCAAGATGAGATGAACTGATAAGAAACTAACCTCGTATTCTTTTCAAATAAATGTTGTACATATTTACAATAATACAGATTCATTTTTTATGGATTTTTTTTTATTTTTAACAATTTACATTCTGATTAATATCAAGTAAAGTGAATATATAGAATATATAGTATATAGTATATTCAGTTATAAATTATCATTTTCCTGTCTTTAATATGCATAAATAAAAAATATAACTATCTATTTACTAAATTCCAATTTATGCAATGATAAAATTAAAAGTCATATTTTTTTAATTATAGGTACACATCAAGCAAAGGAACAATGGTGAGGTAAGGGAATTGTTAGTAACTGTTAATAATGAATAAAGAATAAGAAACAGAACAAATACTTCCACCTTACGGCTAACACACAGTTCTGCAAATTGAACACACACACACACACACACACACATATATTCATACATACACACTCTCATTCACACCAATGCTCACCTTTTCGATTATACATACATCCACAAATTTATTCCCTACATTTTACACACAAGTCCCATAGCTATTAATACAAAGGGTAAACATGTAAAATGAACACAATAATAAGTCACTCCAGACTCTACAATACAGGCCTGCGAGCCTAGTGTACTACAGTAAATTAAAATGTAAATGTGTATCATGAATAAATATTATTATTATTATTATTATTATTATTATAATAAGAACTTGTAGTACCTACTTGCGAATGAATCGAAATGAATATACCATTATTCTGGAAATACCAGAAAATAATTATGACGACGAATAATTATGATGATGCTAACGATTTACCCTGGAGGGGCACCAGTGGAAGATGACAGTATAAGGTCAGGTTAGTGAGCCCATCATTATAAATTCACTAGGAATTTATCACGACGGCTTCCAGGGGAAATCGCGTGGGGGTCAACCTGGCATGATATATTGCTAGCAATAAGTTTATTAAGGGAGGAAAGCTATTCCTTGTTCTTTTTCTTCTTTGTCGATTCCTCAAGACTAAGAGTCGTGACCACCAAGAATGCTTCTTCCAACCAAAACTCCAGGCATTTCTATTGTTAGTAATGTGGACTAATAACAACATTGTTATCAATGCACTATATGTCTCAAAAGGGGTCACAATAAAGTCAAAAATATCATGTAAATAAAGAATATTAAAGTAATATGAAGATTTATAAAAAGTATGACGGGAAACTTGACAGCAACAGAACTATTACTCATAAAGCACCATGACAAGTACAGTACCATGACAAGTCCAGTACCATGACAATTTAAAATCGGTTTTCTGGGAATCATCATGGTTAATTCCTGGTGAGTTCATCACTGGGCTTTTATAAGTGATAATGGAATGTTGCACCCTCCTGCGCTACCGATATACGCTGGCGGTGCGCCAGTGCAAGATGATAAGATGATACTCTCAGGTCGGTCAGGTCAGTCAACCCATCGTGACAAATTCACCACCAACGTGAAAGTCAACTTGACAACTTGGTATATTGTTAGCAATGGGGTTATTAGTCCACATTACTTATATTCCCCGTCTCTCAATATTATCTATTATATAAATATTTATTTAGTAGTAGTATTATTAACTATATACTTAATAGCTAAAATAATTTAATATTATTGTAATATCGATTGATAATATAAAATCTACTCGATTTAATATCAAATCAAATCGATACCATAATTAAAAAAGTAGAGATTGAACGAGAACTTAAATACCTACAAACTAGTACCACAGATAACATAATAGCTAATACTCATTAACTAAACAAACAAAAGGTCTAATATAAATCGGCACCAAAAATAATTTTAATGCACTCGGTGTCGTCTGAACGTCATAAAACGTTTGAATTTAAATTAGATAATTACAAGTAGATATCACAATCATAAAATAAACAAGCTCTTGCAACGCTATGAGAGTAGAGATGTGTCAACTCGAGTTACTAACACGAGTTAAGTCGAGTTACGCTGAATTCAAGTTAACTCGAGTTGAATTCTCCCAACTCGAGTTGGACGAATTCAACTGGATAATGAACGAATCAAGTGAAAAAGCGAGTGCGTGATTCGGTCGTTGAACCTACAATGACATAAAGTTTTCCGATCATTTCATATCATACAATTTTAACTCGTCACAAATGTCTCAATATTAGTTTGAGGTTACGTTATTATTAAAATGATTAAATTAGCGATTTTCCATTTGCCAGCTGTCATTTGTTTGTTATTTTTAAATATGTTTATATAATAAAAAATACTTTTTAATATTTTTATAAATGCTGGGACTTGAGAGGAAATCTCTTCCCATTTTCGAATCGCCAATGAAAAGAGAGTAAAATCTAGAAAATGCTCGAATACATTTTAAATATGCAGGAAATACGACTTCGTTATTCAAATATATTAAAAAAAATAGCACTCAAATAGTACGAGTTGACCTGCAGCCATGCATGCGCTACCATAAGTCCTTCCGCGGCTATTAATTGGCGTTTCTACTCGCCCTCTATGATTCGGTGAAACTGTCAAGGCCAGCTGCGGCCAAAAGCGTTAGAATAGTTCGAAAATTATAAAAAAATAGAAACTTATTAAATAATGAGTGTATATGTAAAGTAGGATGTGTGTGACACATACCGAGCATGCCATAACAATAACCCAACAAACATAATACTTAATCTTCAATTGTGACAGATTATAGTACACAAAAATAAAAAAAAACTTTAAATTCAACTCGACTTAACTCGAATCATGTTTATTACGACTTAGCACATCTCTATTTGAGAGCGCGCCCAAACAATAACAACCTCGTACGAACGTAAACAACCAAAGATATTTAAAGATACACTGATAAATACTTACAGTTGGTGTAAAATTGCATTAAATAGATGTTTACTGAGTCAACTGATACTATTTAATGTAATCAGAATAATAAAAACAACAAAAAAACTTGTTTCTTTTTAATTTATGTAAATAACGCGTTTTATGCAGCGGACGTTATGCCTGTCTGGAGGCCGGCGTGATACTAAACTACTGTTGGTTGATATAAATAATATTGCAACAAACAGTGCACAGCTGCACAGTCATTCATGATTTCATGGACAAACATATGCTGTTTTTCCAAGTACGAACTTATAATATCAAGGTAGGTATATAACTAAGTTATTTTTTAAACGACATCAAAAAATGAGTTGATATTTTCAACCGGAATGTGTTTTGTTTTTAAGAACTTTCATTTTTTATGAATGAGTTATGAACGACCCGTCCCGGCTTCGCACCGGTGCAATACAAATCTTTGAATTTCTCGACTTGTTCTATACTATAACACGCATCTATTATACACATAAACCTTCCTGCTGGGGAAAACGGCATTGTTAGTAATATGGATTGATGATATTATTGCTAATAATGCACCATGTCAGGTTGACCTCTACGCAGTGCTTCCTGGAGACCATCGTGATAAATTCTTGGTGAATTTTCCACGATGGGCTAACTCAACTGACCTCATGCTCAACTTATCATCCTCTACTGGTGCCCCGCCAGCGTAAACCGTTAGCGCAGGCGGGTGCAGCATTCTATTGTCATCCATAAAAAAACCTTCCTGCTGATGAACAACTACAATATTTGCTCTATCAAATCGCAGCTGAAGTATAAAAATCTATTAACATTCATGTACAATGTTAAAACACAACACAAGAAAAATAAATAAATTATATAAAATAAAAACCTACCTGTTGAATCACTCTATCTATTGCTGAGAACTATTAAGATCCGTTGTGTAATTAAAAAGATATAAGCGAACACAGCGTCGGCGACTTTGTTTTATACAATGTACCTAAAGATAATGCAATTTTATCGTTATCATTATCTCAGTTTGATTTCATTTGTTTTGATCGTGGCGAATTCACCTACAGTCAAACATGATGGTTTACAAATTTAAATAATGTAAATTTAATATTGTAATGTGTGAAAACTGTGATCGGTACAGCCTATGCTGTAAATAATATAATTGACGTAGTGGAGTAACCTGAAACAGTCATGCTCGCTATAAAGTTCAAACTTGTGGCGGCGTGGTGGGCCGGGTCGATGATGGCTGGCTCATACGTCATACTCGTGAACGGGTGCTGCTTATGGGCCCTGGTCTGTTCAGGTTGTGAACACTGATTGAATTATTTGTTCTTTGCGATAGCATATTCTGGTGGTCACTCCATTATTCCAAATTTGAATTTTAATGACTGTGTATTATTATAAACATGTTCCACTATTATTTGAAAAAAATACGAGCTGAGTTTCTTGTCAGTTCTTCTCATCTCGAAATCATTCAGAACTGATGGTAGATTTGACATATCATAAGAATCTGTAATAGACCTACACGAATAAAGAAATTTTGAATTTGAAAATTTGAAATACATATTTGTTGGTCGACTTGTCGTGGTGCATTATAAACTATGCGAATACTAATTATAAGTACATCATCATTATCATTAACAATCCCAACGTGGAACAATTTGACACGACATCCTCGCTCAGGGGCCGTACTTCACCGATTCTCATGGAATTTTCTGTGTATATTCAGTAGGTCTAATATTAGGACATATACTATCTTTCATACCCCTAAGTGGAAAAGAACCATCCCTATCACTCACCTAAATTTATTTGTTTTATTTAATAATTTTTCTTTAGATTTGGCATTAAAAAATATTTATAACCCTAAATGTTGTATATTTTAATATAAAACCCTTTTAACGTATTTACCCTTCTTTATTTTATCATATAATCACTATCAAAATATATGCAACGGTTGCTGGGTCAACTAGTAATTTAATAAACTAAAACACATATTCTGATTAATATTTATTTTAATATATAAAATGGATACATAATAATATAAAATATCCCATAAAAACATTCTACGTTTAACAATTAATGAACACTTTTGCCGAATTCACTACAAAACGAAAACAAACACAATCTCTCACAATATTCTATAGCTAGATACTAAAATAGAATCATACATTTTAATTCTTACTAAATCTATACATTTTATTAAAAAAATATAACTATAATAGTGATTTAAAACTAAGTATTTAGTTTTATTATTTTATCAATTTTCCAAATAAACGATATACAGATACGAAGTTTCAGCTTCTAATAAATATGACAGTTATATCTGGGTGTTTATTACTCTGGATGTTTAAATATCCTAAATATGAAGAATAAAATTAAAAAAAAACAGTGCTGCAATTTTTTTAACTATTCTTTCGCTATTGTTGGCCTTTACAGCTTCACCGGACGATAGGGGGCCAATGCAGATGGCACTCCAAACCCGCGGAAGGATTTCTGGAACTAAGGGAGTCTCTAGGGTGAAATAGCAATAATTTTTTAATCTTGAAGGAAAATTATGAGTGGAACTTAGGTAATTGTACCCTGGATTACATTACATAATTATTTTATTTATTACTAACCCCGGCTTTGCACAGGTGTACATGTATTATACATAAATCTTTCTCTTGAACCACTCTATCGATTGCTAAAAACTGCATTAAAATCCGCTGCGTAGGTACTGTAAAAGATTTATGCGAAAAGACAGCGGAAGTGATTTCATTTTATAATATGTAAAGATAGGACGAATAACTCAATATTATATTTCAATAATATTGAGTACATTATATATTTTTTTATATTATATACCTCAACAAATCAAATTATGAACAAATAACACTATTACATGCTAAATAAGATCATTGAACATCAACCCATTATTCACAATAAAGAATTATTATATCATTATTTTCATATAATTATTATTTTATTTTCATATTTTTATTATAGTTGCCATATAGTATTTAAATATATGTACTTAGTAAGATGTAGCTACTTAGAGTGTTGTATTCACAATGTTCTTTGTTAATGGTTCTGATCACACCATATCGGATTAAGGTCGTGAATATAAATTTTATTATTACTATATTCATTAGGACTAAACTACCAAAGACTTATTGTTTTTTTATTTTTATCTGAATTTAAAGTTCATATTAAACTTTTTTTTAACTTCATTTATGTGACCTGACTTCAGATGTTACTTGTGCTATTCTAACAGTCTAATCCTAACATAACAATCAGACAGTTGGTCCGTAGTTTTATATAAAAAAAAAACAATTAACTATATCTAATACTATTATAAATAAACACGTGTGACGCACACACAAAACTATTGTAGTACGGTATGTGTACAAAATATTCGGAAACACTTGGCCCCTTATAAAAATTAAAATCTCAAACAAACCCATTCTGATAAAATATTTTACTATTTTTATACAAATGAAAAAAAAATTAAAATAATTATTTAATTTAAATTTGGTTGAAATAGAAATTGACTGAAAAAAATAATATAATCTGTACAGTTACAAAACAATGATAAAAAAATGACTGTTTTTGATCTTTTTAATTACGGAAATGTGTCCTAAAAGAACCACAAAATAAAAAGTGGAAGGACTAAAAAAAATTTACATTTACAATTACATTTCTTTAGACATTTCTAAAAATTAAAAATGTACATAATTAAAATATTTAATTGTTTGATTTTTTGTATTCATTGAAAACATTCTACATATACAATAAGTCCAATGCACAAAAAAATATTTTTTTAAATATTACGAAAAAACAATAAATAATTCTGTAACAGAAAATTATTTTTTTTAATTACCATTTTTTTTAAATTAAAAAATTGTCTAAAAAAGTAGTCATAAATTTATAATAACAATTGATTTTAATCGTTTGAAATTTCTATGTTTATCGGGGGCCAATAGAAGCATCTAAAAACCAACATTATGAATACAATTTCTTCAGCTCTCTCCTCAATATCTTGCCTGAACTCGTTTTTGGTATCTCTTTAACGAACAAGACTTCTTCTATCCTTTTAAAAGGTGCTACTTTACTCGCCACAAATTCCTGTAATTCCTCAGGAGTGACTTTGTGTTTGGTGTCTCTTCGTGGAATGACTAGGGCTTTTGGAATTTCGCCGAAGAAATCGTGGGGTACGCCTATAACAGCCACGTCTGCTACATTGGGGTGAGAACGGAGCAGACTCTCCAACTCTGCAGGAGCTACTTGCAATCCCTTTACCTGGTGGAATAGATAAATTCAAATTCAAAATATCTTTATTCATGTAGATCTATTACAGACTCTTATGACATGTCAAATCTACCATCAAACAACAGAAACAGTTTTAGTACCAAAAAAATCAAATTTACATTTTCATTTTTTATAACTTTATTCAAGTAGTTCTAATACAGACTCTTATAATATGTCAAATCTACCGTCAGTTCGGAAAAATTTCGTGATGAGAGGAACTGATAAGAAACTCAGCTCGTATTCTTTTCTAATGAATATTTATACATGTTTACAATAATACAGATTAAATTTTAATTTCAAACTTGGGAGAATAGAGTGACCACCAGCATAAATAAATATTTTATATGCTATGGTAGCAAATTAGTGTTGTAATATTGGATGCACTGTTGTATTGGGTATATGCCTGTGTTGACAGTGTGTATGTAAATAAATAAATAAATATATTCAATCATCAACACCTCAACAAAAAAACTCTAGAACGGAGTGTGGCGGCTGTAATTACTATATAAATAAAGTAAACCTTCAACTACTGATAAATGTATATTAACAAGGAAGGTTACATAAATGGACATATAATTATATATAGAACTAGCTGATCCCGCGACTTCGTCCTCGTAGAATTTAACTTTATTTTCTTAAAATAAAAGTAGCCTAAGTTACTTCTTATTACATCAGCTACCTGCCAAAAAAAGTCCCGTCAAAATCGGTCCAGTCATTTCAGAGACAAACCGGATCAAACAGACAGACAGACAAAAATAAAAAAAAATGTTATTTTGGTGTATGTATCGTATTTATATTCATAATGTAGTAAAAAACAGTTATTTCAATATTACAAACAGACACTCCAAATTTATTTATATGTATAGATTAAGCTGTATATGGCGAGTGACGGATGACCTGAGAATATTTTATAGCTGAACTATGGAACGTGTTTGTCTCATCTGTACAGCAGGTAATGATATGAAATGATTATTATACAAATATATACAATACATCATAACTTATCTATAGGATATTTTCCAATGTGTTGCCTACACCTTACAGAGGGGAAATTCGAAAATGGACTCTGTTAAAATGATATGGAATGTGAATTTTAATGTTTCATTATACGTTATGAAAAAATTCTTTACATTAAATTACTTCATTAACAATTTCCTACTGGTCTTCCTAAGTTTCTTAACTACTCTATTACTATAAACACAGACTCATTATTGAGTTCATATAAGCTGAAGTTATGTTATTAATTTAAATTGTACAATAACTAGCTACTCACCCCGTCTTCGCACGGGTGTACATGTATTATATATATAAACCTACCTCTTGAATCACTCTATCTATTAAAAAAACCGCTTCAAAATCCGTTGCGTAGTTTTAAAATTTAAGCATACATAGGGACGGACAGACAGCGACAGCGACTTTGTTTTATACTATATAATGATGTATATTACCATAAATAAGAGAGTGGGCATATGAATTTTAGAAAGACTAAGGATATGGCACTAAAAAGGTTCGGAAATACTGCTCTATACGAAATCGTCTATACTAGTGGTCGCCCAGTGGTTAGAATCGACCATAATTAATTTAATATTCAGGAAGGCACATAATATTAAAGACAAACAATATTAATCTATTCTCAGTTTGACCACACAGTTTAATAATAAACAAACGAATATACTCATTTCAGGGATATATATATCTGTCTATCCTGTATATCTTATACATATAAATAAAATTGGAGTGTCTGTTTGTAATAATTAAATAACCGTTTTTTACTACATGCATATATAAATACGGTACACCAAAATAACATTTTTAACTATTTTTGTCTGTCTGTCTGTTTGTTCAGAAATGGCATATATACCTATATATCCACGCGGTCAAAGTCGCGTGTACAGCTACAAAATTAAAAACATCCTTAAACAAATTTTAAAATTGTATCACAACGAAAGAGTTTTGGGTAATAAGTTTTATTTCAATTAGAGATGCCCTATAATAGGTGGCTAGTCTTATTATTATTAATATTATAAACGCATGAGTGTGGATGTTTGTTAGTCTTTCACGCAAAAACTACTGAACGAAATTTGATGAAACTTTACAGTAATTTAGCCCATGCATCAGAATAACATATAGGCTATAATTTTTATTGAAATTTAATTCGCGAGCACAGTTAGTTCTATATAATTTAAGATTCCTTTTGTCTCCCAACTTACTTTGATAAGTTCCTTTATCCTGTCAGTGATTATGAGCCCTGCATCAGGCTTGTACCGGCCAAAGTCCCCAGTTTTGAAGAAGCCGTCTTCAGTTATACTGTCTTTGGTGGCTTGTTCATTCTTGTAATACCGTTTCATAACTACCGGTGCCTTTATGTATATCTCGCCAGGCTGTGGAATATTAAAAAATACATTTTATAATAAAACTAGGCTTCGCACACGTGTATATATTATACATATAAACCTTCCTCTTGAATGACTCTATCTACTACTTAAAACTAAAAGCATTAAAATCCGTTGCGTAGTTTAAAAAATCTAAACGAACAGACAGCGGGAGCGATTTACAGCGATTTCATTTTATACTATGTAAAGATTTAGATTATAAATACTCATACCCGTATTCTAGGATGTTAATGTATCCTAATATTGTAAAAGGAGAGACTGGACTTTGGTAAGAGAAAATTAAATTCAAGAATCAATTCTGAAAATTAATTATTTATGTAATCCTTCAATATGTTTATCTTAAATTATATTTGCACGCATAATCACATGACAGACAGACAAACATGTTATTTATTCTAAAACCTTCATTATACTGGTACTTCCCAAATAAAGGATTTCAATTTGAACTGAACCACACTCAGACATTAGTTTGTGTTCTCACACACAAATTTAAAATGTAAAATTAACAATTATTTAAAAGAGCAACACTCCATTTGGTTGCATATTTTCCTTATGACGAGACAGGTTTCCGAATGAGCGGTAGATTTAAAAAATTGACTATTGAAAAGTAATTAAATTAAATTTTATTTGATTAGGATTTTGTATGTAGGAGGAATTTTGTACTCCACTCTGCTGTATACTGTGCTGGCTAATCAGAAATGTATTTTTTATTATAAATTTGTATTTAAATTTGTAATTCTTTTATTATATATTTTTGTTTATTTTTTCTTCTTAACTACATATACATAATATAATTATACATATAAAAATAAAACTACAACACAATCTATTTGTTTTAATTGATGACAATGGAATGGTGCACCCGCCTGCGCTAACGGTTTGCACTGGTGGGGCACCAGTGGAAGATGATAAGATGAGCATGAGGTCAGGTCAGTTAGCCCATCGCGACAAATTGACCAAGAATTTATCACAATGGTTTCCAAGGGGAACAGCATGGAGGTCAACCCTTTCCCCCCTTTGAAATAACACAGACATTATAAATGCAGGCTAGCTGGAAACACTTACTTGGCCAACAGGCACAGGGTTGCCAGTCGCTGGGTCTACAAACTTCAGAGTAACTCCCGCCATCGCTGTACCGCACGCGTCGTAGTCTACCTTATCGACATTCTTAAAGGTTGTAGTGGCTATAGATGTTGTCTCAGTCGCACCATAGCCTTGCTTGAACTGAAGTCTGTTCTGAAAAACATAATTATATATTCTTTATTATTCACTAGCTGTACCCGTGACTTCGTCCGCGTGGTGTAGTGACCTTGACCAAATGAAGAATATATATTTAGTTAGATTATAACCCTAAAAAGTTTCATTGTTCTACTTAAAAATTGACGGTACTTTTATACAACTGTTCATTTCCGCTTTTAACACCCTACAACCCTTTTTCACTAAAAAGTAACCTATGTCCTTTCTCAGGGATTATCTGTGTATCAAATCTCATTTAAATCGGTTTATTCGGTTGTCATATTCATGTAGGTCTATTACAAACTCTTAGGGTATACCAAATCAACTGTCAGTTCGGCGTGCTCTCCAGCTAAGAACTGACAAAAAAATAATGAAATACAATTTTAAAACCAAAATTAAAGTAACGCCTTGTCAAAATATAATGTATAAAATTGTTTACCTAAGATATTGCTATTGAAATTTACCAGGCTATGTACAACTTACAAAAAAATATCATACTTAACAAAATTATCCTTTTGCAACCCACAATTAACGGGTCCTGTTTAAGTTTACAACTTTAGCTCTTTAATAAAAATAGATATAAAGAATCATTAAAATGAAAAGCTTCTGCTTGTTGATAAAAAAAAGAGTCATCAAAATTAAATGAGAAATACCTTTTTGAAGCAACCTTCCACTTTCCGACGGTGTCTAAATGGCACTATGATGGTATTTTAATGTTATTAATTCAAATTTTTAAACATTGATTTAAATGTACATCTTATTAGTTCTTCTCAGGAAAAGATTTTTTGAAAAATAATCATAATTCATGCAGGTATGCATTATGATATGTTAAATCTACCTTGACTTTGGAGTGCTTTCGAGTTAACTGACAAGATAAACTCAAATAAGCTTGTACATGTTTGTAATAATACATCTGTATTATTATCATTTTAAAATTCAATTTAGGGAGAATAGAGTGACCATCAGCATATGCCATTGCAATTCTGTCAAAAGAAATTAATCTATTGATTTTTATTGCTAAAATGACAAAATAACAATAAATTATTTTTACTTACATTGCTTTTGTCGAGTATAGCTTGAGCATCGGTGGCTGCGAGCGGCGCCGCGCCACATAATATGTATCTAACATTTCTAAAGTGTTCCCCTGTCACTTCAGGATGTTTGCCCAGGAGTATTGCTGTAATTATAATGAAATTATATATTTAGTATAATAATAGTAATAATAATTATACCCCTGGACAGGGGTAAAAAGATAGTCAGTAATGTGGACTAATGACCTCATTGCTAGCAATGGACTATGTTCCGTTGACCTCCACGCAGTTCCCACTGGAAATCTTCGTGATATATTCCTGGTGAATTTATCACGATGGGCTAACTCACCATACTTCTTATCCCCTACTGGTGCCCCGCCAGCGAAAACCGTTAGCGCGGACGGGTGAACCAATCCATTATTATTAATTAAAAAACACCCCTGAACAATTTACACAACACCATCTAGTACCAAGCTATGTAGAGCTTGTGTTATGGTACTAGACAACCGATATAAGTACTCAGATATATTTTTTTAGTAAATATATACTTATTAACATAGAAAGCACCCAAACGATACAAACAAACTTACTCATGAATACAAATTTTTGTACCGGAGAATCGAACCCGCTCTGATTACCTTGAGACTAGACAACGCTTTGTAATTTGTCCTGGGTTAATATTATTATCTATCTATACATTTCATGTTCTAGAAATTATTATTATTAAGATCCGTTCAACAGTGACAAGGTAGCAAACAGATAGATAGGCAGATTTCACGTATATAATATTAATAGGAATATCTTACCAAGTGGTGGAACAATATATAATAAACTAACTTCTTGGGCTTTCAACAAATTCATGAAAAGTCGAGCTGAAAAATTCGACACGGTGATCAGCTTGCATCCGGTGCACAGATGGCCGGTCAGCGCCACGATCAGACCATAGATGTGGTAAAATGGTAGAATGCAGGGCACTATGTCCTGGAATGTACCTGGAAATAAACAATACGAATTTATGGTAAACTATTTTATAGGTGTGTCTCGTGGTTTTGATCTTATAAACTTCAATCATAGGTTGACTGTAGAAAGTTAAAGTCACTGAAGATATTACAAACATTGGAAAATCACTCTAAAATTGTAATTTTAAGTAATTTTTTTTTAATTTTAAGCAGTATTGTTCTAGGTTTGGGACATTTTTTATTTTTTTTATTCTGCTACATAACGACATGCATTATTTCATATCTTTACATAGTATAAAATGAAGTCGCTACCAGTGATCTATTAGATCTTTTACACTACGCAACGGATTTTAGTACAGTTTTTAGCAATATATAGAGTGATTCAAGAAGATGGTTTATATGTATAATACATACGAAGCCGGGACGGGGTTAGCTAGTCTAATTATAATTTAGACAAGTACAAAGCGACACCTATATATTTTATTGTTCTAAAAATTATTATACAAATAGCATATTTTGCGTCAGTATTGAACATAGTCAAAAATATTTCTTACAGAAACCCATAGATGGCGTTATTTCGTAATATTATTGGTACCAAGGCCCGAATGATATATTGATAACAATGATGTAATAACTAAACATTGCTATTATGTACTCGTGACTATGTTCATATTATCTAAACGACGCAATCACTTGTCATCATCAAACAAAATTATGCAGACAGTTTTATCTCGACTTAATCGGTGAACTTCAAGTATACCTATTGTTGAATGTTGTAACTCGCTGACCCTAGCAAACTGCGTCTGGGTCATATTCACGTCGTTTTTGTAACATTTTTCATTGCAGCTCCGCTCCTATTGGTTCTTTTTCATCGATGGATAATGGAATGGTTCACCCACCTGCGCTAACGGTTTACGCTGGCGGGGCACCAGTGGAGGATGATAAGATGAGCTTGAGGTCAGATCACTTTGTCCATCATGATTAAATAACTAGGAATTAACCACGATAGTTTCCAGGGGGAACCGCGTTGAGGTCAACTTAACATGTTACCATTGGTAGCAATGGGAATACTATAAGATCCCATTTATTAATACCAATCCCCCCCCCCCCACTCCTATTGGTTGTGGCGTGGTGTTAGCCTATAGCCCATAAACAGCCTATACCCTATAACCCATAACACAAGCTTTGCTTAGGTTGTTAACGCAGGCAGCTGCACCATTCCATTCCTAATCATAAAAAATATCTCAAATTCATCCATTAAAACACTTTCTACATGTCGTGACGTATTAAATTCTTCTTTTAAAATTATTGACTCTTTTCTAGAAGGCATAACACTTTAGTCTTCAGAACTGGCACACAAATCTCGACGACGAACGGGCCTGCACAGCTCGCAACCAACGCTTAAAAAAGTTATTACTTACTATTTGCAATTTCCGAATATCGACTCTCCTTCCTTTGCATAGTCTCTACAGCTGCTAGTATATTTCTATGATTTAGCTCCACTCCTTTCGGTAGTCCTGTAGTACCACTAGAGAATGGTATAAAGGCAATATCGTCTTCTTTCCTTACAATTTTTTCCAACATAGCGTAATCTGCTTCTCCGTTTTCCGCAATTTCTGAATATTTAACTACTCCACTAGGCACGGATTGATTAGGTTTATCGACTATGATCACTTTTGCGTCAACCTTTGCACTTTTTAAACCTTTAACTACAGATTCATAACAATCTTGTATGGTCACTAAGATTTTCGGCTGCGTTATTGATGCTTGGTGTGAGATTTCAACTGAAAAAAAAATGCGAAAAATTAATGCGTTTCCGATCTTTACATAGATGGTATAAATTGAATTCGCTTCCGCTTTCTGTTAGGTCGTTTACACTACGCAACAGATTTTAATGAAGTTCTTAAAAATAGATAGTGATTCAAGAAGAAGATTTATATGTATAATACATGTACACCCGTCCAAAGCCAGGGCGGGTAGCTAGTATATATATAATAGTATTGTTACATCTACCCACAACTAGATGAAGCCTTTTCCAATTGCTTTCATTATTTGCAAAGCTCTGCTACACCAACAAGCTATCAACTAAATTGCTCCTTACTATTTCAGCAATAGCTAAGATGTGAAATACGTTCTTTTACAAATAGTGAACTATCTCACTAACTCAATTTCACATTTAAATCATTAGTAAGGAACATTTTTTACGGTCTTGCTCGTTGGTCTTTCTGTTTGTTCATTTATTTATAGATACACCGCCTTACTTCCAATGGTCATAATTTCCTCGCACGATGCTAATATTTGTATTCATGTAATGTTTGTATATCTCAGGTATTTTCTATTAATATTATGTATGGATTTACTAAAAACAATGTATTCATGTATTTTTATCAGTTGCCTAGTACATAACACTGGTTCAGCTTAGTGTGTGACTAGATGGCGCTGTATAAATCGTCAAGGGTGTCATTAGTGAAATTTGTAGTATATGTGTTATTCTGATGTATGAGCTATATTATTGTAAAGTTTTATTGAAATCCATTCAGTAGTTTTTGCGAGAAAGAGTTACAAACATCCATCCACAGTCACAAAATTTTGCGAATGTTAGTAAGATTTAGTAAGTGTTAAGTATTTCGAATTTTCCTTTTTCGGTAATGGTACTATACAGAAATTAATATTTTTCTACAAATCTTTTAAATGTGTCTTATAGGTGTGACATGTGTCTATCTGTTTGTCCTTTTCAAGATTAAACCGTTAATAAAATTTTACTTAAAAAGAGATTATTATTCCAATGACAGATATAGGGTATATGTTATCTTTGAAATAATAGTAGTCGAGGTCGAGGTTAATAACTAGTTGAGTATAACTGTTTTGAGTGTGTTCTCTCCGAGTCTGTGGTCCAATTGAGAATAGATTAATATTGTCTTTAATATTATTTGTCTATAGTCTTAAGGAATGTGAAATTAAATATAATCGAGGTTAACAACTAGCCTTTCACATTTTTTGACTTACAACAACGAAAATACGGGTCTTTGGGGTTCTGGTTCTAAGCAATTAAGAGTCGGATATACATTTTATTTCCTGAATTATATAGATAGATATCTAATCTTAAAAACAACATCTTTAAAATGTTAATTTTCTGTTTATTAGTCTTCCTAATTTCTAAAGTAGTTTATTCAAGAATGCTAAGAGTGAAGTTTGTGGTCGTTGTTCATTAATAAACAAACAAAAGATAGTTTTAGTAAACATATATCAATTTATGATATATCTTTACTAAAACTATCTTACTAATAATTACTTTATAAATTGAGACAGCATCGTCTTTTTTTTTATTTTCAACTTTAAAAAATTGATCATAATTAAACCCGAATTTTCAACAAAACTTTGCCATAATCATTATATATAATATTAATATAGTCGAGTTTAACAACTAGTTTTGAGTGATTTCACTCTGAGTCTGTGGTCGAATTGAGAATAGATTAATACAGTTTGTCTTTAATATTATTTGTCTATGATCTTAATTAAAGTGAAACCACAGATAACATAATATTATATAGTGAAACTAAATATGGTCAACGTTGAGGTTAACCACTAGTTAAGTATAACAGTTTTGAATGACTTCTCGAGCAGTAAAATTAATTATTTACAACTGTGATAACATGATGACGTCCACATCCGGTTGACTCCATGGTTGATAACACACCTATGTCAAGTCATGCTGATTTATCTCAGCTACAATTTAGAATAACTCTTAAAGTATATTATGTATAAATATTCCATAGACATAAAAAAACATAACGATACTATATCCATGATCCATTTATCCACTTAGACGATATTTTTTGACAGCCTCGGTGGCCGGTGGTTTTGCATACCGCTTTACTTCCGATGGTTGCGAGTTCGATTCCTCGCATGGTGTAAGAGTTTCTATTTATGAGTACTAATGTTTGTATCAGTCTGTGTGTTTGCTATGTATGTTCTGTGCGTATTAAAAAAAATGTATTTGTGTATTTATATCAGTTATCTAGTACCCATAACGCAAGCTCTGCTTAGCTTGGGACTAGATGATGCTGTGTGAGTTGTTATTATTACTATTAACGTGGAGTTAAGGCTGCAGGTTCATATTAGTCTCCTATTCATACAAAAAATGCCACTATGAAAGTTTTCTACAGCAACTATCATAGTTAATGGATCAGATATATTGATGATGTTGTGGTTGAAGATTACGAGGTTCCGGAACAATTTTTATATATGAATGATACTTTCTAATTGATATCTACTAATTATACATATTCTATTTCTTTAATCGATGATAATGGTGGTGTAAAATGCAACTGCACCCACCTGCGCTAACGGTTTACGCTGGAGGAGTACCAGTGGAGGATATTAAGATGAACATGGGGTCAGGTCAGTTAGTCCACCGTGACAAATTCATCAAAAATTTATCACATGATTTCCAGGGTAAAACGCGTGGAGGTCAACCTAACATGGAACATTGCTAGCAATATGATCATAAGTCCACATTACTAACAATCCCCTTTGCCCCTATATATTGTATTAAATAAAGAAATAAAATAATTTAATGAATCGAGGCAATAATATATTGCTACTTTTTACAACAATCTGAGCAACGAACCATCAAAATTTTTAAATATAAAAAGTTTAACGAAAGATATTTCACAACTACAACTAAATCAACAAAATTTTGGTCATAGGATAAAGCAACTAATATCAACGTATCGCAATAATCAGATTTCATTTAAACAGTTTCGTTTTAATATTACTCGTAACTGAACACCTATATCAAAATTACAATAACCTGAGCCGAAGTTCGAATCCCTAGCGGTGCCCGCAGACTAAAGTCGTGTCCGTCAGGCGGAAGTTGGCCTTCAGTCCACAAGTCCTTCCGCTTGTTTTTTAACAACTACTAACAGCATTAGATAGTACGAAAAAAAGTTTTCTAGGATGAACCGCGTGAAGGTCGACCTAATATGGTACATTGCTAGCAATGGACATTACCAGTAGGCTAATTATGTAACTTCGTTCGCAACGATTTTCGTATGTAACGTAGTGAAAATGACGTCATCTGTCAATAATGCGATCATATAGACGCCATTTGACGCTGTCAACTAGCATTGCAACGTAAACGCAACTTTACATATCGATAAAAATTATTTCTATCGAATGTCGATTTAATAACCTCGTTGCAACGTCACGTAATCGCTATTTTGCCGAAATGACAGCGTGGAATTGAAACGGTTTTTACATTATGAGAAACAATTTAGAAGGTGTTTCTTTTGGTTACAATCTTTAAAATATCAGCATTATATATAATTTTCAGTATTACATATATTTTTATTATATTAAATATTACGTAGAAAGTCGTGAAAAGGTTTTAAATTTATTAAAATGGGAAAATTGTCACGACTCACAACACGACATCAGTGTTGCCAATTCGATATTTTATTTTCGTCCCAAATCACATAGAATGTTGTATTAACTAGAGTAAATGTTTAATATAAAATTAGGGTTGATTATGATATTAATATAATTAAAAAACTATTTCAATGAATACGGTTCTGTGAACGGAATACAACGTTTATGATGCTCTGTGATTTGTTTAAAGTAAATAAATTTATTTGTTTAAAGTTTTTACAATTATGTACAAATTTAAAAAGATGTGCCCATATCATTTTAATTTTATATGGATACCTACGTACTTACCTAGGTATCTATAGCAGAAAAGAAAATTTAATTTGTAGGTTAGATTAATATTATTAATGATTATAAATAGTTTGTATAAAATATGCTTTTATATTCAAAATTATTAACCTTATTTTTATTAGTTTCTCTTTATTTTATTTTATTAAATGTCTATTAATAAAATTAAAATAAAAGAACAAGTGAACGCTGCAGTATATTTTGTAATTTTTGAACGCAATAAAAATTGTTTCAAATCAACCAACTAGTGTAACAACCCAATAAATTAAAATGTATCCCTCTAAAGGTATAAGCTATCTAATGTACTGACTTTTTAAATTGGTCGGATTAACAATATTCCGCTGCAACTTCATAGTAGTGTTTTATCGATAGAAATGATTTATGTTGCGGTCATTCGACCTTACTTGATCGCATTTTTTAATTTGAAATGATTTCATATTGCATCACAACTTCAACAGAAACAATTTCATATCGTGTTACATAATTAGCCCACAGTTCCTATTACTAACAATCCCTTCCCCCTTAACAAATGTGTTTGCAGCTTGGTCTTACCTCATCTATATTCAAATTCAAATTCAAATTCAAAATATCTTTATTCATGTAGGTCTATTACTGATATGTCTCTCTTATGACAGTTCGGAATGATTTCGAGATGAGAAGAACTGACAAGAAACTCAGCTCGTATTTTTTTTTAATGTTGTACATATTTACAATAATACTATTTCATTTAAATTCAAATTTGGGAGAATAGAGTGACCACCAGCATATGCTATATAAAAAAAATCAAAAAAATCAAAAAATCTAATCAGTGTTCGCACCCTGATATTTTTATATTTTTATATCGGTACCTACTAAGACTATTATCAGTATTGTTTATAAGATTAAGGTCAGCAAACTATTATATTTATTGTTGTGTAACTCTCTATCTAATTTTATAGCATAGGTTACTTTTATTTGTAAGCTGTTATTGTGACTTTTAATTAATTAAAATGTTTGTAATTGGCAGTTTGATAACATTGTGACGCACAACTCTTATATATATATATACCTATATAGGTATTTAACTTCG